ACATAATTCCACTTTGACATTATGGGGTATTATGTGTAGGCCAGTGACACAAAATCTCAATTTAATCAATTTTAAATTCAGGCTGTAACACAACAAAATGTGCAAAAAGTCAAGGGGAGTGAATACTTTCTGAAGGCACTGTATGTACATGCATCTCTGGAATATATTTTAAGGCATTACATGCATTTTATTACATGTATTTGAAATACATTTTACGTGACGTTAAATATATTGAAATGTACTGTGGTCAATGGAACGCAGACCGTGGGGGAAAAAGCAAGGACACGGTCATTGGCGGCCATTAAAAATATTGGAATCTAGCAAAGTGGATATTCGTCAAATCCGTCATTATTTATGAGTTCCAACAGGCCCACAATATGGTTAATAAAATCTAATTTGGATATATTTGGCTGTTTTTGCTGCATAATATTTAGAAGTTATCCTTTTCGGGTTTAGAAAAAAATATCTGCTAAACGTTCAATTCCCGTTTCTATAAACTTGTAGCATAGCTAGCCATATAGAAATCGGTAGTGGTAGTTAAAGCTGTTTTTAAGTGTGATGCAGTTGATTAGTGACAATGACATGAACATGTATTGCGGTTGACATCCATACAAGCGTTATATTCAGTTTTTTACCCCAATGTGTGAAATACATATACTGTATAAACAATAGCCTTAAAATAGACTAATTTTGATGGGTGGCAATGTGGAGATTCTGAATCTTTCCCCCACAGTGGGGATGCGTGCATGGCGTTTCCATTGCATTTCCATCATCTTGGTGGAATACCATTTACATTTTTATCGCATCTATAAGCCAGGGGGGAGCAGCATGGTTGCCATGTAACTGCAAAGAAGCAGTAAATACTCATAAGGATAATTGGGCAGCAGGTAGCTTAGTGGTTAATAGTGTTGTGCCAGTAACTGAAAGGTTGCTGGTTCTAATCCCCGAGCCGACTAGGTGAAAAATCTGTCAATGTGCCCTAATTGCTCCTGTAAGTCGCTCTGGATAAGAGCATCTGCTCAGAAATGCCAAAGTGACAGCAATGAAAAGAAGCAAATTTATGCTGTTATTTTCCATTCGTCAACCATTTTACAGATCTTTTTTTTTCACATTTTCAGGCTGTTATAATGCAGACACTTATCCATATGACTCACAGATGTCCACTATAAAGTAATGTTTCCCCTTAAACATTCCTTCATGGCGTATGCAGAAGGTTTTCAGCTCTGCTGGTGTTTGATTTCCTCCTATTTTGATTTGACTGAAAGGTATCCTGGGAGGGTGGTGGTGGAGAAGTCCAGTTGTGTGTTATAGTGTTAGTTATTATACATTTACATTTACATTTTAGTCATTTAGCAGACGCTCTTATCCAGAGCGACTTACAGTTAGTGAATGCATACATGTTTTTTTATTTTATTTTTTATTTTATTTTTTCATACTGGCCCCCCGTGGGAAACGAACCCACATCCCTGCCGGCCAAACCCTCCCCTACCTTGGACGACGCTGGACCAATTTTTGCGCCGCCCATGGGTCTACACAGCTGTAGGGCGAGGGAGGCCCATACTACCTCTCCTGCCAAGATTTACAACCACTGTCCAACTGCACCCAACAGATGTGTCTGCCATACATAGGCCTAACCAACAGGAGCCAAAGTCCAAAATCACACCATTGAGATATTATCTCTCTCTCACACACACACACACACACACACACACACACACACACAGTCCATTTAGTCTGCACGTGGATCTAGGCCTAGATCCAACAGAGCCATAGATGATTTAGCTGAGGGGCTTATCGCCCAGACAGACTGTACATATTACAGACACGTTTACCGTCCAGATGTTCAACATTCACATTTCATTGGGTCATAACCAGACAGGAAACCTGATTCTAAAAACCATAAAGTTGATATTCACATTTAGAGGCCTTGAAATGCAAGCTTCAAGGCATTTAGCATTCCTTTAATATTTTCATCAGCAAAGTGTAGCCTAATTCTTGAGGCTCACAATGCTGAGAGAAACAGGTGACAACGAGCATGTAGAACCTTCTGAAAAGTATTGCTTTGTTTTCATGGCAAATTAATTCAGAATGTCTCCAGCAGACTGTTACAGCTACTGCAATGGCTGTGGATGGCTGCTGTTCAAATGGAATAGGCTACACTGTGACTATGTCCAAGGAGAGTAGTGAGTTTGGGAGGTAACTCTAAACTCCAACTGTCCTCTAAGTCACAGCAAATCCCATAATCAAAACGAGTAATGATTTTGCTGTCAAGAGATACAATGCATGCAGTTGTGTGGGGACTCTCTCTGTACCCATCGATGCTGAAAGTATAACATCTGCAGTATGTCCATCAAGCAAATTTTTTGATGGATTCAATCTATAAGGAATAGCCCTGAACAGTATGCATAGGAAAATGTTCTGTGTAACGGGCTATTCCTTATAGATTGAATCCAAAATAATTACTAGTTTTGATTATGGGATTTGCTGTGACTTAGAGGACAGTTGGAGTTTAGAGTGGCCTACCTTGAAATATTAACCCCCCCCCCCCCCCCCGAAATGCTTCTCATTGCCTCTCATAGCAACCCATAGCAACCACGTCTGTAGCAACTGAAATGTGGGACAACTCACCTCCCAACTGAAGCAACCAGCCTTTCGGACGGTCCAAGATGCCATTGGCTTGCTCGAGCCCACAGCAGGAGTGGCCAGCGAACTTGTCCATCAATAATGTATCTTGGATTACCTTTCTAAATTCTTCAGCTCATGCTTAGGTGAGGACTGGTCGAGGTGAGCCTCTGTGCTGTTAGCGCTGGATGTCGGGGAAAACCTTTGTTTATTCACGTGTAAGTGTATTTTATTTCAATACAGCCTACTGTTATTTACAAAAGATGCTCATATACCTGTGACTGTGACTAATTGGCTATTTTCGCAGGCAGTTGGCCACGTGATATTTCCTTAAATTTAAGTTTTTTCCAGTGGACATTTATTACTCGAAATATCAATGATATGTCAATGATGCCAAAAAGGTGTGACATTCATGCAAATGTAGAATATTTTTAATATTCTCAAATATTTTAAATATTCTCAAATATTTTAAATATTCTCAAATATATTATAGGAGCACAAGTCAACGTCTGGCAGTAGGAAGTAGCCTAACTTTAGTATTTTTGAAATTGCATCCCAGAAACTGAGAAGGGGGTAGCTGCAGCCCAACATGGCGACTGGAGTGTGTGTGTGGACAGAAAAGAAGTGGACGTGTGGAAGGGAGTGGGTGTATCAAAAGGAAAGTAGTGGCTGTGTGGAAGGGAGTGGGTGTGTGGAAGGAAAGTAGTGGCTGTGTGGAAGGTGATTGGTGTGTGTGGAAGGAAAGTAGTGGCTGTGTGGCAGGGGTGGGTGTGTGGAAAGAAAGTAGTGGCGTGTGGAATGGAGTGGGGGAGTGGGTGTATCGGAAGGAAAGTAGTGGCTGTGTGGAAGGGAGTGGGTGTGTGGAAAGGAAAGTAGTGGGCGTGTGGAAGGGAGTGGGTGTATCGGAAGGAAAGTAGTGGCTGTGTGGAAGGGAGTGGGTGTGTGGAAAGGAAAGTAGTGGGCATGTGGAAGGGAGTGGGTGTATCGGAAGGAAAGTAGTGGGCGTGTGGAAAGGAGTGGGTGTTTCAAAAGCGCTCTGCATTAGGTTAGATGGTTTTGATTGAGCAGTGTTTTCTTTCTTCCGTTTCTTACCACTCAACTACCGTACATTGAGGTACCATACTGCGAGAGTTTGGACTTGTGTTTTGAAGCCAGAGGATTAGTCTGAGTCGTATTTCACTGTTAGTTTTACACAAATAATTGTACATTGTCAGTTATAAAACTGGCAATTATTTATTTTTGATTAAAAGTACTGATGATGGGTGTACTGTTTCCTTATGTGTTGTACAGTATGTGTGTGCTTACTGTGACTGTCACCCTGACTACTAGGTAGCTACTTCCCAGTGTAGCCGGTCAGTAGTGCTTGTTAAGCGGGAGCGAAGGGCACTGTGTCCCAGTGTTGTTGCCGTTCTTGCCCTCCCCATTGAGTAGTAGACTGTATGTATCAAGATGACATCTAGATGGTTATCAATAATAGTTACTTCTTGTGTAGGCTGCTATCCTACTTGAAATAAAATCATGGGAGGGGAAAACATTTGGCCACATTAGCTACAGACGTCGACACAATGGTGATACCAAAAATATTTATAACTAACCGAAGATTGTTAATCTGTGTTGTTATCAATGGGAGCAAATTAAGCATAGTGGGCAGAACAAGCAAGGAGGTGGGCAGAGCCAAGCACAAGCTAGAGAGATCCTATTGGTGCGTTATAGCATGTTTTTGCATATTTCCATTAGGGAACATCTTCCCTGTGAAGTGAGTCAATTCACCCTTGCACTCCTTGTAAATTTTAGAACTTTGGAACTTTTAGAACTTTGGCAAAGGGTCACGTCTACAAAACTTAATGCACTCTTTTCGTAACAGATTGTAGTTTTGGGAACGGAAAACTGTATTGAGATCAGGCTTTTCTTTGATGAGAAAATCAACAGAATGTTGGCCCAGTTCCATCTTGCTGCATACTCTCCCACTGATGGCCACTGGGCTTCCTCTCCTCACCATATTGGTGGGGAGTGGAAATTCCAACCGGATGCTTCAGATTTATACTTCCAGTGAAACATCTGGCTCCTTGTTCTATCTGTGGTGATAACCAGTAGGAAGCAGGTCGGCAGGCACGTCAATACAACACCGCTGCACTGGTCGCCGGCTTATCAACTCCTCGTGCAGCCCAATCAGTCACGCAAAAAAATCCTAAAAGATACTAGAATGTGTGGGTCTTGTGAAACTGTTCATAAAATATGAGAGACAGATACCAGTCTTTCACAATCTCATAAAGGCTTATTGATAACAGATGACATGTGATATGTAAGTACACTAATACACAGATCCAATATTGCATGTTTTCAGGAGACAAGAGGAGCCCTGAGAAGAAGAGTGACAGATGGAGCTGATGGGATCCACCCTGACGGCGGAGTACGCCCGGCCCAAAGCCAGCCACTTCTTCCCAGCCATCTCCACCATGGTGTCCTCCTACCGGAACAACCAGCCCGCCCTGGCCATGAACCCAAGTGCCAACCAGCCCTGGAGGACTAACGCCTACTACCGCACAGGCAGCGCTGCCACCATCCCCGCCCTCTCCTCCATCCAGAGGGAGAACCTAGGCTTCGACCTGGTCCGGGCCAAGACCATGTTCTACCCATCAAACCGGTCAGCCATGACCACCCGTTACACCCCAGACGACTGGTACAAGTCCAACCAGAGCAACTACCGTGAGTCAGAGTCGTCCAGGAACAGTGCTGAGCGGCTGAGGAGAGACACCATCAGGCTGATGCAGGATAAAGAGCAGCTGACCAGGAGGACCCAGGAGACCACCAGTAAGAACATCGGGGAACGCCTCAACGACATCAGCTTCTGGAGGTCAGAGTTGAACCATGAGATAGACAACATGGTGAGCGAGATCATGGCCCTCACTGAGGTGAAAAGAAGGCTGGAGAGAGCCTTGCAGGAGACCGAGGGGCCCCTGCAGGTAATGGAGTGTGTGTGTGTGTGTGTGTGCACGTGTGCAAGTGCGTGCTAAGTTCTACGTAAGAGTGTCCTGTAACTCCAACAGTACACAATGCATTCACACAGAAATGCAAATTGTACAGTATAAAGCACAACAAACCCCATCTCCAGTGCACCTATTTAATCATCCATGCATATCACTTACTCAGCACAGCGTCTTCCTGTCAGACTGTGGTGACACAGTTTTGTCAAAGGGGTCTGATGGTGGTGGATAAAGTGACAGTAGAGTTATTGGTTCTTCACACCACTTCAGAGCAGAGGGGTTCAGCATTCACAACACTCTAAATTAGGTCGCACGTATCCCATTAAGGTTGCTAGGCAACCAGGCAACCTTCCACAGAACAGCACCGGTGGTCATTTGTCTTAACCCAGAGTGCTTTGGGGTGTATAGTAGCGTCAACTTGATCTGGCTGGAGATCTGGTGACATGAAGGTAGTTGAGACCAGGTAGCAACAAATAGTTCTCAGAGGGGACCTCTAATAAGTAATTGGAACCTATGAACTGAAGGTACACTCACTGTATAGAGAGAAATACAAATCAAATCATAATTTGTGTATATACACTACCGGTCAAAAGTTTTAGAATGCCTACTCATTCAAGGGTTTTTCTTTATTTTTACTATTTTCTACATTGTAGAATAATAGTGAAAACATCAAAACTATGAAATAACACATATGGAATCATGTAGTAACCAAAAAAGTGTTAAACAAATCAAAATATATTTTATATTTGAGATTCTTCAAATAGCAACCCTTTGCTTTGATGACAGCTTTGCACACTCTTGGCATTCTCTCAACCAGCTTCACGAGGTAGTCACCTGGAATGCATTTCAATTAACAGGTGTGCCTTCTTAAAAATTCATTTGTGGCATTTCTTTCCTTCTTAATGCGTTTGAGCCAATCAGTTGTGTTGTGACAAGGTAGGGGGGGGTATACAGAAGTTATCCCTATTTGGTAAAAGACCAAGTCCATATTATGGCAAGAACAGCTCAAATAAGCAAAGAGAAACGACAGTCCATCATTACTTTAAGACATGAAGGTCAGTCAAAACTGAAAATTTCAAGAACTTTGAAAGTTTCTTTAAGTGCAGTTGATAAAACCATCAAGCGCTATGAGGAAACTGGCTCTCTTGAGGACCGCCACAGGAATGGAAGACCTAGAGTTACCTCTGCTGCAGAGGATACGTTCATTAGAATTACCAGCCTCAGACATTCCAGCCCAAATAAATACTTCACAGAGTTCAAGTAACAGACACATCTCAACATCAACTGTTCAGAGGAGACTCTGTGAATCAGGCCTTCATGGTCTAATTACTGCAAAGAAACCACTACTAAAGGACACCAATAATAATAAAAGACTTGCTTGGGCCAAGTAACACGAGCAATAGACATTAGGCCGGTGGAAATTTTCCTTTGGTCTGGAGTCCAAATTGGAGATTTTTGGTTCCAACCGCCGTGTCTTTGTGAGACGTGGTGTGGGTGAATGGATGATCGCCGCATGTGTATTTCCCATCGTAAAGCATGGAGGAGGAGGTGTTATGTTGTAGGGGTGCTTTGCTGGTGATACTGTCTGTGATTTATTTAGAATTCAAGGCACACTTAACCAGCATGGCTACCACAGCATTCTGCAGCGATATGCCATCCCATCTGGTTTGGGCTTAGTGGGACTATCATTTGTTTTTCAACAGGACAATGACCCAACACACCTCCAGGCTGTGTAAGGGCTATTTTACCAAAAAGGAGAGTGATGGAGTGCTGCATCAGATGACCTGGCCTCCACAATCCCCCGACCTCAACCAAATTGAGATGGTTTGGGATGACTCGGACCGCAGAGTGAAGGAAAAGTAGCCAACAAGCGCTCAGCATATGTGGGAATTCCTTCAAGACTGTTGGAAAAGCATTCCAGGTGAAGCTGATTGAGAGAATGCCAAGAGTGTGCAAAGCTGTCATCAAGGCAAAGGGTGGCTATTTGAAGAATATAAAATATAAAATATATTTTGATTTGTTTAACACTTTTTTGGTTACTACATGATTCCATATGTGTTATTTCATAGTTTTTATGTATTCACTATTATTCTACAATGTAGAAAATAGTAAAAATAAAGAAAAACCCTTGAAAGAGTAGGTGTTCTAAAACTTTTGACTGCTAGTGTATATATTTTGTATACCTAAAGGGGTCCTAAAATTCAAAATTAAATAGCTAAATGATCCTTGGTATGACCCCGGCTTAGACTCTTAAGGATTAAGAACCAACGATGTGCTACCTTTTTGTAGCATTTCCGACAATGTTAACATCTTGTCAGCCAAATCTCATAGTTCTTAAATCAAACCAAAGCACTTGGGTTGTGCAGCGCTAGTAGCTAGCTAACACCAGTCTGATGAGAGGCAAGCTACAAGCAAAGGAAGCTAGCTATATTTTGCTATGGAAGGTTTTTCACATGGCTGAAGTCATCTGTGCAAGCTGTTGGCCTTGACACTTGCGTGTAATCAGAGCACAAACAAATAAGCACAAATAAGATAGCGAATGTTCTTGGCTGTTATTGCCAGTTAGCTAGCCAACTAATGTTAGCCAGTAAACATTAGCTAGCTAGCTACAAGCCAACAAGGCTGTAATGTTAGCTGTATGGACAGATCGTGCATCGGCAAAACTCAATGTTGACAATATCTCCCACATTCTTCCACAAAGCACTGCTAGCTTGCTAGCGAAGTAAAGTTCATAGTCAACACCAAACATTGGGAAACTACCACACTGCTAATGTATAATACATGCAATGGGCATTGCTCATCTAACGTTAACGTTGGCTAACGTTACTCCATACACTAATAAATCATGCTTGCTTAGCAATGTAGCTAGCTAGCTAACGTTACCTTATGCATTGATTCAGTATGAGCCCTCTGTCAATGCAAAAAAAAATTTGTCATTATAATCTAAATTTGTGCTGACTGATTAACACGGTGTCAAGTTACTTTTCAATGTATTCCCAAAAACCTGAAGTCGCCATCCAAGTAAAAAGTAGCCAGGGGTGCAACAACCTCATTGCTTGCTTGTCTGACCTTTGCACAGTGAAAAGACAACACCATGCTTGCTAACTTAGTGAGCTATGTGACATCAACTATTTTAGATTTTAAACCAAGCAATATAAATAAACATTCAATCAGTACTGTGTGAATGAACAACAAAAACAATTTGCAACTAAAGCTTCCTGTCATCACCAGTCTGTCCATTTAAATAGTGATAAAGTGTTTATGACAGGGTTTGTAGAGTAACAGTTAATGTCACCGCCATGGGATCTAAAGGTTCTGGGTTCGCCTCTCGGAGGACACATTTCGACCATTCTCATTCGTGTATAGTTTTGAAACCCCCTCCAAGTCCCGACACACACACACACCGGCGAGCATGCACGGTTTGTGCTTATTTTCAATTATTTGGTGGCTCTTCAAAAAGCATTGTTGAGTGACAATGGACAGGGAGTGTGGTGTGTGTACTACTGCGTGCGTCTTGCTACTACGGAGGAGAGAACGTTGGAGACTGGAAAGACCAAGTCTCAACTCTCAAGTAATACATCGTTGACCTCATCCGTCAGATGCACTCCACCCCTAAGGTACGTCCCAGGGACACACTGCTTAATGGCAGGGTGGCGGATTGTGTTCCCTGAAATGCGTACACTAGCTGATCGACACAGTGCCGTGCCCTCTCTATGCACTTGTTTATCTTCTGGTCACACTCCCACTGGAACATCCAGCTCCTCCGCTGCACAATATCAGAGAAGACCACCGTTGTCCCGGGAAACATTCGGATGGCCACCTCTAAATCCGAGCATCTGCCGCACCAGTGCCTTCGCCTTGGTGTCACCTAATGTGACAGTCAATAATGTATGTAAATAGTTAATGGGTAGGCTACATGCTGATTATTTGTGTATTTTCCAGGAGCTTGCTTGATTGCCATTTTAAACATAATTGTCTTAATTTTAATTTAATTAATTTTAGTCATTTAGCAGACGCTCTTATCCAGAGCGACTTACAGTTAGTGAGTGCATACATTAAAAAAAAGAAATCATACTGGTCCCCCGTGGGAAACGAACCCACAACCCTGGCGTTGCAAACGCCATGCTCTACCAACTTAGCTACACGGGACTAATTGGGTTTATTGGCTTAATTGGGTTTCTGTTTTTTTGCTGTAATTTTACATAAATACTAATAACAACATTATTTCTGTTTACATTTGTCATTATTGTGTATTTTTACTTTACTTGTATTGCTGTGTTATGCTATATTCTAATGTTGAATAATAATGTTGCATAATCACCTTCCGGTGTAAAAAACATGGAAATTAAAAACAAAAAAACAACGTTTTAAGTGAGAAGTAGGCATTGGTCTGAAGCCGAAAAATAAAGGAAATTCCCATGAGCACCAGAATGCCTACTCCACCCATGCACTACCAAAGTTTTCTATCACACAGATTTGACCTACTACAGTAGCTATTTATTTAACTAGGCAAGTCAGTTAAGACCAAATTCTTACTTACAATGATGGCCTACACCGGCCAAACCTGGGCTAATTGTGCGCCGCCCTATGGGACTCCCAATCACGGCCGGTTGTGATAAAGCCTGGAATCGAACTAGGGGGTCTGTAGTGACGCCTCAAGCACTGAGATGCAGTGCCTTAGACCACTGCGCCACTCGGTGTATTGTACTTCAAACAATGTGTAGGCAGGTTGCGTAGGATTCAAACCTTCTCAAACAGCCTAATTCATACTCTTCAGAGGGATACTGGACTTTACAGTGTCCTGCTATTAAAATAATGTATATATATATATATACAGTATACAGTGCATTCGGAAAGTATTCAGACACCTTTACTTTTTCCACATTTTGTTACGTTACAGCCTTATTCTAAAATGGATTAAATTATTAGTTTTTTTTTTCTCATCAATCTACACACAATACCCCATAATGACATAGCATAAACTGGTTTTTAGAAATGTTTGTTAATGTATTAAAAATAAAAAAACTGAAATATTACATTTACATAAGTGTTCAGACCCTTTCCTCAGTACTCTGTTGAAGCACCTTTGGCAGCAATTACAGCCTCGAGTCTTCTTGGGTATGACACTACAAGCTTGGCACACCGGTATTTGGGGAGTTTCTCCCATTCTTCTCTGCAGATCCTCTCAAACTCTGTCAGGTTGGATGGGGAGCGTCGCTGCACAGCTATTTTCAGGTCTCTACGATAGGGTTCAAGTCTGGGCTTTGGCTGGGACCACTCAAGGACATTCAGAGACTTGTCCCGAAGCCATTCCTGCGTTGTCTTGGGTGTATGCTTAGAGTCTTCACCCCAGTCTGAGGTCCTGAGCGCTCTGGAGCAGGTTTTCATCAAGGATCTCTCTGTACTTTGCTCCGTTCATCTTTCCCTCAATCCTGACTAGTCTCCCAGTCCCTGCCGCTGAAAAACATCCTCACAGCATGATGCTGCCACCACCATGCTTCACTGTAGGGATGGTGCCAGATTTCCTCCAGACGTGACGCTTTGCATTCAGGCCAAAGAGTTCAATCTTGTTTTCATCAGACCAGACAATCTTGTTTTTCATAGTGTGAGAGTCCTTTAGGTGCCTTTTTTTGGCAAACTTCCAGCGGGCTGTCATGTGCCTTTTACTGAGGAGTGGCTTCCGTCTGGCCACTCTACCAAAAAGGCCTGATTGGTGGAGTGCTGCAGAGCTGGTTGTCCTTCTGGAAGGTTCTCCCATCACAACAGAGGAACTCTGGAGCTCTGTCAGAGAGACCATCGGGTTCTTGGTCACCTCCCTGACTAAGGCCCTTTCACCGATTGCTCAATTTGGCCGGGCGGCCAGCTCTAGGAAGTGGTTCCAAACTTCTTCCGTTTAAGAATGATGGAGGTCACTGTGATCTTGGGGACCTTCAATGCTGCAGAAATGTTTTGGTACCCTTCCCCAGATCTGTGCATCGACACAATCCTGTCTCGGTGCTCTACGGACAATTCCTTCGACCTCATGGCTTGCTCTGACATGCACTGTCAACTGTGGGACCTTATATAGACAGGTGTGTGCCTTTCCAAATCATGTCCACTCAATTGAATTTACCACAGGTGGACTCCAATGAAGTTGTAGAAACATCTCAAGGATGATCAATGGAAACAGCATGCACCTGAGCTCAATTCCGAGTCTCATAGCAAAGGGTTTGAATACTTATACTTATACTAAATTCACAAAAAAATCGAAAAACCTGTTTTCGCTTTGTCATTATAGGGTATTGTCTGTACATTAATGAGGAAAAATATTTATTTAATCCATTTTAGAATAAGGCTATAACGTAACAAAATGTGGAAAAAGTCAAGGGGCTGAATACTTTCTGAATGCACTGTAAATCAGGAATGCAGACAGGCTAGCTCATTATATCTATATGAGTGAGCGACACTACTGCACTAATATATTTCCTATATAGTGCACTACTTTGGGCCAGAGCCCATAGGGCTCTAATCAAAAGTAGTGCACGATGGGCCCTGGTCAAAAGTAGTTCACCATGTAGGGGAATAGGGTGCAATTTGGGACACAGCATTAACATTGTGTGACCATCAACAGGTGTCCCAGGAATGCCTGTATCACAGAGAGAAGCGAATGTCCATCGATCTGGTTCACGACAACGTGGAGAAAGATCTCATAAGGGTACAAACAATGACATGTCCATACAATCATGGCATGACTTATGACTAATGATCCTAATGATCAGAACCTTATCAACTGAAATGATACCTGTTTTGATCATTATGTAACCAGGAAGTGGAAACCATTAAGTCATGCCAGGAGAGGATGAGGAGACATCTAGACAAAGCCATCGCTCAACTAGCGTGAGTCTGCGCTCCTAGAGTATGACACAGAACTACTGTAAAATAGGTTCACTGTTTGAAAACTACATAGCAAATTCTCCAGTGTAAAAAAAAGAGAAATGAACACTGAGAGTGTTAAATCAACACTGAATGTGTTGAGTCTGTGGACCCATATATACAGTGAGGGAAAAAAGTATTTGATCCCCTGCTGATTTTGTATGTTTGCCCACTGACAAAGACATGATCAGTCTATAATTTTAATGGTAGGTTTATTTGAACAGTAAGAGACAGAATAACAACAAAAAAATCCAGAAAAACACATGTCAGAAATGTTATGAATTGATTTGCATTTTAATGAGGGAAATAAGTATTTGACCCCTCTGCAAAACATGACTTAATACTTGGGGGCAAAACCCTTGTTGGCAATCACAGAGGTCAGACGTTTCTTGTAGTTGGCCACCAGGTTTGCACACATCTCAGGAGGGATTTTGTCCCTCTCCTGTTTGCAGATCTTCTCCAAGTCATTAAGGTTTCGAGGCTGACGTTTGGTAACTCGAACCTTCAGCTCCCTCCACAGATTTTTCTATGGGAGTAAGGTCTGGAGACTGGCTAGGCCACTCCAGGACCTTAATGTACTTCTTCTTGAGCCACTCCTTTGTTGCCTTGGCCGTGTGTTTTGGGTCATTGTCATGCTGGAATACCCATCCACGACCCATTTTCAATGCCCTGGCTGAGGGAAGGCGGTTCTCACCCAAGATTTGACGGTACATGGCCCCATCCATCGTCCCTTTGATGCGGGGAAGTTGTCCTGTCCCCTTAGCAGAAAAACACCCCCAAAGCATAATATTTCCACCTCCATGTTTGACGGTGGGGATGGTGTTCTTGGGGTCATAGGCAGCATTCCTCCTCCTCCAAAACACGGCGAGTTGAGTTGATGCCAAAGAGCTTGATTTTGGTCTCACCTGACCACAACACTTTCACCCAGTTCTCCTCTGAATCATTCAGATGTTCATTGGCAAACTTCAGACGGCCCTGTATACAGTGAGGGAAAAAAGTATTTGATCCCCTGCTGATATTGTACGTTTGCCCACTGACAAATAAATTATCAGTCTATAATTTTAATGGTATGTATATTTGAACAGTGAGAGACAGAATAACAACAACAAAAATCTGAAAAACGCATGTCAAAAATGTTATAAATTGATTTGCATTTTAATGAGGGAAATAAGTATTTGACCCCCTCTCAATCAGAAAGATTTCTGGCTTCCAGGTGTCTTTTATACAGGTAACGAGCTGAGATTAGGAGCACACTCTTAAAGGGAGTGCTCCTAATCTCAGCTTGTTACCTGTATAAAAGACACCTGTCCACAGAAGCAATCAATCAATCAGATTCCAAACTCTCCACCATGGCCAAGACCAAAGAGCTCTCCAAGGATGTCAGGGACAAGATTGTAGACCTACACAAGGCTGGAATGGGCTACAAGACCATCGTCAAGCAGTTTGGTGAGAAGGTGACAACAGTTGGTGTGATTATTCGCAAATGGAAAAAACACAAAAGACCTGTCAATCTCCCTCGGCCTGGGGCTCCATGCAAGATCTCACCTCGTGGAGTTGCAATGATCATGAGAACGGTGAGGAATCAGCCCATAACTACACGGGAGGATCTTGTCAATGATTTCAAGGCAGCTGGGACCATAGTCACCAAGAAAACAATTGGTAACACACTACGCCATGAAGGACTGAAATCCTGCAGCGCCCGCAAGATCCCCCTGCTCAAGAAAGCACATATGCATGCCCGTCTGAAGTTTGCCAATGAACATCTGAATGATTCAGAGGAGAACTGGGTGAAAGTGTTGTGGTCAGATGAGACCAAAATCGAGCTCTTTGGCCTCAACTCAACTCGCCGTGTTTGGAGGAGGAGGAATGCTGCCTATGACCCCAAGAACACCATCCCCAACGTCAAACATGGAGGTGGAAACATTATGCTTTGTGGGTGTTTTTCTGCTAAGGGGACAGGACAACTTAACCGCATCAAAGGGACGATGGACGGGGCCATGTACCGTCAAATCTTGGGTGAGAACCTCCTTCCCTCAGCCAGGGCATTGAAAATGGGTCGTGGATGGGTATTCCAGCATGACAATGACCCAAAACACACGGCCAAGGCAACAAAGGAGTGGCTCAAGAAGAAGCACATTAAGGTCCTGGAGTGGCCTAGCCAGTCTCCAGACCTTAATCCCATAAAGAATCTGTGGAGGGAGCTGAAGGTTCGAGTTGCCAAATGTCAGCCTCGAAACCTTAATGACTTGGAGAAGATCTGCAAAGAGGAGTGGGACAAAATCCCTCCTGAGATGTGTGCAAACCTGGTGGCCAACTACAAGAAACGTCTGACCTCTGTGATTGCTAACAAGGGTTTTGCCACCAAGTACTAAGTCATGTTTTGCAGAGGGGTCAAATACTTATTTCCCTCATAAAAATGCAAATAAATTCATAATTTTTATGACATGCGTTTTTCTGGATTTTGTTGTTGTTATTCTGTCTCTCACTGTTCAAATAAATCTACCATTAAAATTATAGACTGATAATTTCTTTGTCAGTGGGCAAACATACAAAATCAGCAGGGGATCAAATACTTTTTTCCCTCACTGTATGTGCTTTCTTGAGCAGGGGGACCTTGCGGGCGCTGCAGGATTTCAGTCCTTCACGGCGTAATGTGTTACCAATTGTTTTCTTGGTGACTATGGTCCCAGCTGCCTTGAGATCATTGACAAGATACTCCCGTGTAGTTCTGGGCTGATTCCTCACCGTTCTCATGATCATTGCAACTCCACAAGGTGAGATCTTGCATGGAGCCCCAGGCCGAGGGAGATTGACAGTTATTTTGTGTTTCTTCCATTTGCGAATAATCGCACCAACTGTTGTCACCTTCTCACCAAGCTGCTTGGCGATGGTCTTGGAGCCCATTCCAGCCTTGTGTAGGTCTACAATCTTGTCCCTGACATCCTTGGAGAGCTCTTTGGTCTTGGCCAATGCGGAGAGTTTGGAATCTGATTGATTGATTGCTTCTGTGGACAGGTGTCTTTTCTACAGGTAACAAGCTGAGATTAGGAGCACTCCCTTTAAGAGTGTGCTTTCTGATTGAGAGGGGGTCAAATACTTATTTCCCTCATTAAAATCAAATCAATTTATAATATTTTTGACATGCGTTTTTCTGGATTTTTTTGTTGTTATTCTGTCTCTCACTGTTCAAATAAACCTACCATTAAAATTATAGACTGATCATTTCTTTGTCAGTGTGCAAACGTACAAAATCAGCAGGGGATCAAATACTTTTTTCCCTCACTGTACACCAGAACAGTGTTAAATTAACACACTGTTTAGTGAAAGCCTTATTCAAATATTTCCCAGAGTTCCTTTCGAGTAAATTGTAGCGTTACCACTCATGACTGTATTTGTTAGTGACAGAGACATGGTTGTTGCATTCATCCATTTTCAGTCCTATGGACTTCACCAAGTGAGATCCTAAGTGAATGTCATTATTTAACACAATACCATACGTATTTCATAAGCCCTTATTTTGAGGGCCTAGTTTTACCCTAATACAGGGGTCTGAAACTCATATGCATCACTTTGAACCAAAACCACGCCCATCATTATCATATTTCCCAGCATGTTCTATTGCAGGTTGATTTTCAGAATTGTTTATTTCAATATCTATGTTTGTGCATAATTGATTAGTTAATCTTATTCTACACAAAGATAAATAACATATTTTTCTAAACTAACCCAATCAGTTTGTAAAAAAATTTGCACCCGTAACTGAAATGTTTGTTCCAGTTTAAATTACTTAGGTAGTCTCCTCATAATGTTCCTGAATGTAGGTTGCAGATTATTAAAAACTATTGGAATCTAAATTCTGGCTAGGTTCCAATAGGAATTACACAAAACTTTGCAAGACAGCGTAATGTGACTTGCGGGTAGGTTTGCAATATGTGGGCAACTTTCCCAGGTTTTTCAGAAATCCTAGTTGGAAGTTTCCTGCAAATGGAAGCAGGAAATCTGAAATCCATCAACTAGGATTTTTGTAAAATCACTGGAATTTTGCAACCCTACTTCCAGGCTTGATGTGGCTTGAACTGTGGTACAATTATTCACTTACAACTAAAGGTACAGTGACAAGTGTTTGCACCCCTTTAGGAACAAATCTAAACTTTTGTGTGTGTGTGTAATACAATGGCCTGAAACTCATGGTTTACAGGCCACATCAGACCTGCAAATCACATCATGCTGGCTTGCAAGGTGATGTGTAATTCCTATTGGAATTCAGCCAGTGAGGGGATATCCAACTTTTGGATTTTTTTTATCACCCGCAACCTGTATTCAGAATGACTGCCAGGGTTGGGAAGACTAAGATATGAGACTACCTAAGGCATGTAAATAGAAACAACAATTTCAGTAATGGGTGCAATAAGTACAAGTTAACATATTAGATTAGTTTAGAAAATGTTTGTAATTTATATTTGAGTAGCATAAGACTAATTAATGAATCAATCAATGTACAGTTGAAGTCGAAAGTTTACATACACTTAGGTTGGAGTCATTAAAACTCGTTTTTCAACCACTCCACACATTTCTTGTTAACAAACTATAGTTTTGGCAAGTCGGTTAGGACATCTACTTTGTGCATGACACAAGTAATTTTTCCAATAATTGTTTAAAGACGTTATTTCACTTATAATTCACTGTATCACAATTCCAGTGGGTCAGAAGTTTACATACACTAAGTTGACTGTGCCTTTAAACAGCTTGGAAAATTCCAGAAAATGATGTCATGGCTTTAGAAGCTTCTGATAGGCTAATTGACATAATTTGAGTCAATCGGAGGTGTACCTGTGGGTGTATTTCAAGGCCTACCTTCAAACTCAGTGCCTCGTTGCTTGACATCATGGGAAAATCAAAAGAAATCAGCCAAGAACTCCGAAAAAAAAAATGGTAGACCTCCACAAGTCTGGTTCAGCCTTGGGAGCAATTTCCAAATGCCTGAAGGTACCACGTTCATCTGTACAAACAATAGTACGCAACTATAAACACCATGGGACCACGCAGCCGTCATACCGCTCAGGAATGAGACGCGTTCTGTCTCCTAGAGATGAACGTACTTTGGTGCGAAAAGTGCAAATCAATCCCAGAACAACAGCAAAGGACCTGTGAAGATGCTGGAGGAAACAGGTAAAAAAGTAAAACGAGTCCTATATCAACATAACCTGAAAGGCCGCTCAGCAAGGAAGAAGCCACTGCTCCAAAACCGCCATAAAAAAGCCAGATTACACTTTGCAACTGCACACGGGGACAAAGATCGTACTTTTTGGAGAAATGTCCTCTGGTCTGATGAAACAAAAATAGAACTGTTTGGCCATAATGACCATCGTTATGTTTGGAGGAAAAAGGGGGTAGCTTGCAAGCCGAAGAACACCATCCCAACCGTGATGCACGGAGGTGGCAGCATCATGCTGTGGGGGTGCTTTGTTGCAGGAGGGACTGGTTCACTTCACAAAATAGATGGCATCATGAGGAAGGAAAAGTATCTGGATATATTGAAGCAACAGCTCAAGACATCAATCAGGAAGTTTGGTCACAAATGGGTCTTCCAAATGGACAATGACCCCAAGCATACTTCCAAAGTTGTGGCAAAATGGCTTAAGGACAACAAAGTCAAGGTATTGGAGTGGCCATCACAAAGCCCTGACCTCAATCCTATAGAAAATGTGTGGGCAGAACTGAAAAAGTGTGTACGAGCAAGGAGGCCTACAAACCTGACTCAGTTACACCAGCTCTGTCAGGAGGAAAAGGCCAAAATTCACCCAACTTATTGTGGGAAGCTTGTGGAAGGCTACCCGACACGTTTGACCCAAGTTAAACAATTTAAAGATAATGCTACCAAATACTAATTGAGTGTATGTAATTGTCTGACCCACTGAGAAAGAAATAAAAGCTGAAATAAATAATTATCTCCACTGACATTTCACATTCTTAAAATAAAGTGGTGATCCTAACTGACCTAAGACAGGGCATTTTTACTAGGATTAAATGTCAGGAATTGTGGAAAAACTGAGTTTAAATGTATTTGGCTAAGGTGTATGTAAACTTCCGACTTCAACTGTATATGCACAAACATACAGTACATTCGAAAAGCGTTCAGACCCCTTGACTTTTCCACATTTTGTTACTTTACAGCCTTATTCTAAAATGGATTAAATTACCCCCCCCCCCTCAATACACCATAATGACAAAGCAAAAACAGGTTTTTAGAAATGTTTGCAAATTTATACAAAATTAAAAACAGAAATACCTTATTTACATAAGTATTCAGAACCTTTGCTATGAGACTCGAAATTGTGCTCAGGTGCATCCTGTATCCATTGATAAACCATGTGATGTTTCTACAACTTGATTGGAGTCCACCTGTGGTAAATTCAATTGATTCGACATGATTGGACACACCTGTCTATGTAAGGTCCCACAGTTGACAGTGCATGTCAGAGCAAAAACCAAGCCATGAGGTTGAAGGAATTGTCCGTAGAGCTCTGAGACAGGATTGTGTCGAGGCACAGATCTGCGGAAGGGTACCATAAAATGTCTGCATTGAAGGTCCCCAAGAACACAAATGGAAGAAGTTTGGAACCACCAAACTCTTCCTAGAGCTGGCCGCTCGGCCAAACTGAGCAATCGGGGGAGAAGGGTCTTGGTCGGGGAGGTGACGAAGAACCCAATTGTCACTCTGACAGAGCTCCAGAGTTCCAGAGAGCCAAGCTTTTAGCGTCATACCCAAGAAGACTCAAGGCTGTAGTCGCTGCCAAAGGTGCAACATCAAAGTACTGACTAAAGGGTCTGAATACTTATGTAAATGTGATATTTCAGGGGGGGATTTGGAATAAATTTGCTTTGTCATTATGGGGTATTGTGTGTAGATTGATGAAGGGGAAAAAATCATTTAATCCATTTTAGAATAAGGCTGTAACGTAACAAAATGTGGAAAAAGTCAAGGGGTCTGAATACTTTCCGGATGCGCTGTAGATATTGAAACAAACAATTCTAAAAAGCAACATGCAATAGAGCATGTTTGTAAATATGATAATGATGGGCATGTGTTTGGTTCAAAGTGATGTGTATGAGTTTCAGGCCCCTGTATTAGGGTAAAACTAGCCCCTTAAAATAAGGCCTTATAAAATATGTATGCTAGGCTGCGTTTTGTACAGGCAGCTCAATTCTTATATTTTTTCCACTAATTGTTTTTTTTACCAATCACATCAGATCTTTTCACATCAGCTATTTTTCAGAGCTGATCTGATTGGTCAAAAGACCAATTAGTGAAAAAGATATCAGAATTGGGCTGCCTGTCTAAAACAGGCTGTATTGTGTTAAATCATATTTATTTTATGATAACATATTCGCTTAGGATCTCACTTGGTGAAGGACATTGGACTGAAAATGTATGAATGCAACAACCATGTCTCTGTCACTAACAAACTATAGTCATGGGTCGTAACTGTACAATTTACTTGAAAGGCAAGGCACTCTGGGATATATTTGAATAAGGCTTTACACTAAGCAGTGTGTTAATTTAACACTGTTCCAGTGTCTATATGGGTCCACAGACTCAACACTTTCAGTGTTGATTTAACACTCTCAGTGTTAGTTTTGTTTGTTTTTTAACAATGGAGAATTTGCTGTGTAGGGGACAGTTTAACCAATAGTCCTACTCAGGAAAAAGTCAGGTAAAAAAAGTTCTCTCTCCAGGTATAGAAATATATTTTAAATGATGAGACTTATAAAACATTACAACGGCTCATACATGCTCATAACATAATAAAGCATTACACCTGTCAGTGCTACGTCAAGTGTTACAGTGTTACTATTACTCTGTGTGTGTTACTTCCATCAGGTCAAACCGAGCAGCTCAGCACGAGCTGGAGAGAGACCTCAGTGATAAGGTGACAGCCCAGAGGATAGATAATAGGTGTCACCATCTCAGGAACGCGTCAGACGGGATCAGCTACTACAGAGGGATCGAGAGACTGGACCCATCGTGAGTCATACCTACCCACTAGTTTAGATGTGGATGTTTACAGCTTTGTGATTGAAATGGGAGATACTGTATGTGCTGTGAAGGTGACTGCCCCCTCACCCATGTAGTTTGTAAATGTTTGGAATGATCTTCAAGAAAAACACAATTCGAAGTACACTGCTTAGCGATTTCGACGCATGCCTCGGAGCTCCGGTATCAAACATAACATCACTACCGGAGGCCCAGCTAACTAGCAAGTACGCAGTGTCCTTTGCCTATGCCTGCCGAGCACCTGTACTTGCCGTAACATTAACAGACCTACCGGAAAGCAGTGCTCGGCAGACGGGGGCGAAGGACACTGTCTACTGGTGTCCTAGATTTCTAGCTGCCAGTGTCTGCCTCCACCTCCCGCCTGTGTAACGTTACCGGAGTCCTAGCTTAAAAATGGGCCGTTAGAAGTATAGAAGGGGGGTTCCTACAGATGCAGGAATACCCACAGGCAGGAACGCCCCGAGTTGTGGGCGGCAATCACACCCTTCTCTGCACATGCGCAGACACTGTGTGTGACTGTGTGAGAGCGAAGTCTTGCATCTCGCTAATCTCAATATCTGCGGTGCTGCTTGTGGCAACCTCATTTCGCTGAGTCTACCTTTAAATGACTGTATTTTCTCAAATTTGATGATATTATATTGAAGCCCATTCAAACCAGTACGGGACTGGATATGGAAGTAAAGCAGAAGGGGTCATCACTTTCAGATTGTATTGACACAGGTGTTTCACATTTTCCCTGAATATAAATCATCAATCCCAAATTCAAATCTAGCTACAACTACCCCTGTGTATCTCCTGCGTGCCTTCCAAAGTTGTCCCAGTCCGTTGACCATTGTGTCCATTGTCATTTCTCACCCACTTGACCAGGCTCTCCCTGCCCAACTCGTGGTCTAAGTTCACGGATGACAACATCCTTCACTCCCAGAGCGAGCGGGCGGCGTCCCACAAGCTGCGTGATGAGATCGAGATCCTGCTGAACGCCACGTCCAACGAGATGTGGAAACATTTCAACACGGTCAACGTGGCCTTCACCAACCGCATGTCAGAGACCGCCGACGCCAAGAACAGCCTGCAGACACACCTGGCTAAGGTGACTGACCGTCACCTGACCAATGACCATCAAGCTGATCTTTCATGTTTTAGTTCCTTTGTTGTTTAGTTCCATTCAACTCAGTGAGATGCAGTTTGGTTGTATCTTGTTATACGTCATTGTACTTCAACATCAGGTCCAGGGGGCAGTAAGGAAGGCATCGTAAACTGCCTGCGTACCATAGTTGATTATTGCTGAAATTTTACTTCCGTCTTTGATTAATTTCCCTGCTGGAAAAAAAAAACGGTATCGAGACCACATATTGAGTGTCTCAGTCTTGTCTCAGTGTCAGATATATTTGTACTTGGTCTTGACTCGGTCTCTGACAGTGAGACCAGCGGAGTAAAAAACTCATACTTATCAGCTTCCATTCAGTCAGCGCATTAAACCGTTTCGCCAGGCCAAATATATACACTCCTTTCTTGAAACATTAATATCTTAACAGCCTTTATATCCATTTTATACATGTTTGATAGGTGGAGAACCTATAGGCTTTCAGTGTGTGACAGGTTTGTGATTCTGAAAGGACAGCAACTGTAATACCGGTGCACTCGTGTAGGAGTGCACTTTTGTAAAACACAAAGGGCCAGTGGTGTAGAGGAGGGTATACATGTAGCTCAGTTGGTAGAGCATGGCTTTTGCAACGCCAGGGTTGTGGGTTCGATTCCCACGAGGGGCCAGTATGGGAAAAAATAAAATAAAAAAATAATGTATGCACTCATAAGGATAAGAGCGTCTGCTAAATGACTAAAATGTAAATGTATACACAGGTATAAACTGTATACCCACTTTTTTTCAGTGGGCCTTGCTTATACTCACTTCTTAATCCCTACTGATGCGTATCAAAGTAGTGTAGTGGAGGTATACGACTTATCAATTATGTACAATAGAGAAATCATGCACGAAGTAGTCTTTTTTTTATTTATTTTTTTATATTATTATTATTATATTATTTATTATTATAGTCTATACAATCGCAAAGCATGTGAAATATGTTCACATGCGCGCCGCACACAGCCTAGTTTCAGCGGAATATCATCTGCAGGCAGCAAGAGTGTGCAGCTCTCAACTGGTTTTGGAATGGAGCAGCTCGCAGAATAATGACATCGGTAGCCAGTAGGGTAGGAAAGACATTTCAACCTATGATATCTACCAGTAAATGCTAAGGCAACAATGGGTGTGCAAACCAGGTATTGAAAAAGTTCAGCCCAAAGTTTTGGTTAGTAGGCTATTCATCATGTGCTGTTTGCATCAGGGGGCGTAAACATTGATGGGCCTGGGTGGACATTAGCTAGATAGCTAGCTAGCTAGCTGCTAGGAGGATGTCATGTTATGCCATTGGAGGAGTGGGTGATTTACTGACTTTTTCCCCTCATATCGTTTTTCGGTGGCTATACACAGGTGTCATTTGGTTAGCTAGCGAGAACTTGAAAGACTGTCATACAGTTAGCAGATCTCTTGCGTTCACAAATTCACTTTGGCTATCTACTCCGATTACAGAGCACTCTTGTTTGAGTGTGCCAGAGCGCAGAACAACTTAGGAATTTAGGAACGCGCAACACCTGCTGAATATGACCGGTGTCAGTAAATGTAGGCAAAAAAAGTAATAGTTAGTCAAGAATGCTCTAGATAGCATGTAAACAGCCTAACCAGCTCTGCTACGGCGAGTAAAATGATCAGTGTGAGGTGTTCTCTCATTTGTGTCTGGAAGTAGCTAGCTAGCAAGCTAGACAACTTTAGCCAGTTAGCTTGGGTGCTTGGTTGGGACAAGTATGCATTTGCAGGCAAGCTACAGAAGGATGAGGAGGCTACAATTCCCCATCATTTATCAGTGCAATTTTGATGGGCAACTAGCTGAAAAAGTTTGAGAGGGTTTATCTAATGTTCCTTCGTTAGATTTTGGCTCATCTTGCTCTGGCTAGCATTAGTTGCTGATCTTGTTGTTATTGATGTGCATAACTGAGGGAGGGAGAGCCTACCTTTTCAAGGTTGTTTAATCAATAGGACTGTAAAATTCCCAAATGTAAGAGGACTCCCGTGGTGTTTACATATTTGCAGAAATCCATTCAGGTGTATTTTGTGGCTTTTGACAAATGCGTTCTATTGATCTAAAGTAGCGCCTGTAAACACACAGTCCAGTTCAAAGTGAATGATGGCAGGCCCTTGTGGCAAATGGCTTGTTAGTATAAACGTCTACTCTAGGCCTGATCTTTAGCTTGTTTTTGGTCACAGGTCCAGGAATGGCTGAAGGATTGCAATATTTACCTGGAGCTAACCCTGCAGATAGCACGAATGGGTGATCTGAAAAGTCATAGTCAATCGATCAATAATATAATAATACTTTTAGCAAAAACATTTTTTTAAAATTTACAATCTGTAGAAACAATGAGAATAGAAGGGTTCAGAACTTTTGTGAAACATCACAGTACAGTTGAAAAATATATGGCAAATAGAAATCCAATATGGGTGGTGTTAAGAGATAGATGGGAGGTGTTGAATGGAGCTGAAGGATGGGACTAATAACAACTAACAACAACTAATAACAACAAGATAACTAATGTAAAGCATACTGTGTCCATAATAAGTATATCGTTTATAGGTTGAGAGCTTTTGTGAAAGAGCACAGTTAGAAAGATATGGCATGAAGAGGCAGACCGGATGGACATCATGAAGATGATCGGAGAGGTTGTGGGCAGAGGAAGTTCAGGAGTAAAATTGACTGTGTCCATAAAATGTAAATAGTATGTATAAGCTGGAAGTAGAGGCCTAAGCGTTGTTGTTCACTAGATTACTCCAAATAGGGAAGGAGTGGTGGGGTTGGAAAGTAATAAAGGGAAATATATTTTTTTAAAGGATATGTATGTATATATATATATATATATATATATATATATACATATATATGTATATGTATTTCTATGTATGTATGTCTATGTATGTATATACAGTGGGGAGAACAAATATTTGATACACTGCCGATTCTGCAGGTTTTCCTACTTACAAAGCATGTAGAGGTCTGTAATTTTTATTATAGGTCCAGAAAATCACATTGTATGATTTTTAAGTAATTCATTTGCATTTTATTGCATGACATAAGTATTTGATACATCAGAAAAGCAGAACTTAATATTTGGTTCAGAAACCTTTGTTTGCAATTACAGAGATCATACGTTTCCTGTAGGTCTTGACCAGGTTTTCACACACTGCAGCAGGGATTTTGGCCCACTCCTCCATACAGACCTTCTCCAGATCCTTCAGGTTTCGGGGCTGTCGCTGGGCAATACGGACTTTCAGCTCCCTCCAAAGATTTTCTATTGGGTTCAGGTCTGGAGACTGGCTAGGCCACTCCAGGACCTTGAGATGCTTCTTACGGAGCCACTCCTTAGTTGCCCTGGCTGTGTGTTTCGGGTCGTTGTCATGCTGGAAGACCCAGCCACAACCCATCTTCAAAGCTCTTACTGAGGGAAGGAGGTTGTTGGCCAAGTTCTCGCGATACATGGCCCCATCCATCCTCCCCTCAATACGGTGCAGTCGTCCTGTTCCCTTTGCAGAAAAGCATCCCCAAATGATGACGTTTCCACCTCCATGCTTCACGGTTGGGATGGTGTTATAATATATATAATAATAATATATAATATAAATATAATAATATAATAATATAATAATATATAATAATAATATAATATGCCATTTAGCAGACGCTTTTATCCAAAGCGACTTACAGTCATGCGTGCATACATTTTTTTTTTGTGTTCTTGGGGTTGTACTCATCCTTCTTCTTCCTCCAAACACGGCGAGTGGAGTTTAGACCAAAAAGCTAAATTTTTGTCTCATCAGACAACATGACCTTCTCCCATTCCTCCTCTGGATCATCCAGATGGTCATTGGCAAACTTCAGATTGGCCTGGACATGCGCTGGCTTGAGCAGGGGGACATTGCGTGCGCTGCAGGATTTTAATCCATGACGGCGTAGTGTGTTACTAATGGTTTTCTTTGAGACTGTGGTCCCAGCTCTCTTCAGGTCATTGACCAGGTCCTGCCGTGTAGTTCTGGGCTGATCCCTCACCTTCCTCATGATCATTGATGCCCCACGAGGTGAGATCTTGCATGGAGCCCCAGACCGAGGGTGATTGACCGTCATCTTGAACTTCTTCAATTTTCTAATAATTACGCCAACAGTTGTTGCCTTCTCACCAAGCTGCTTGCCTATTGTCCTGTAGCCCATCCCAGCCTTGTGCAGGTCTACAATTTTATCCCTGATGTCGTTACACAGCTCTCTGGTCTTGGCCATTGTGGAGAGGTTGGAGTCTGTTTGATTGAGTGTGTGGACAGGTGTCTTTTATACAGGTAACGAGTTCAAACAGGTGCAGTTAATACAGGTAATGAGTGGAGAACAGGAGGGCTTCTTAAAGAAAAACTAACAGGTCTGTGAGAGCCGGAATTCTTACTGGTTGGTAGGTGATCAAATACTTATGTCATGCAGTAAAATGCAAATTAATTACTTAAAAATCATACAATGTGATTTTCTGGATTTTTTAGATTCCGTCTCTCGCAGTTGAAGTATACCTATGATAAAAATTACAGACCTCTACATGCTTTGTAAGTAGGAAAACCTGCAAAATCGGCAGTGTATCAAATACTTGTTCTCCCCACTGTATATATAGGTTTTTTTTGCGAGAAAAAAAATACATATGGGGGATTGGAAGTGATGCAGACAATTACATAGATGGAAGTTACAATCTATCTGCAATATTAAAGCTGATCTACCCAAAAAAAAATTAAAAAACTGTCGTAAAACTGTGCGTGTGTGACCAAGCATTATAACTCCACCTGAATAACGGCCATCATCACCTTTTATGGTGACAATAACACCCTTATTTGCTGTATACTTTGGAAGTATTGGTATCAGGCCAAGACAGTATATCTAAGGGAAATATAAATGGTGAACTTGATCAAATGTTTGCAGAATGTTTTTTTTTTGCAGGGGCATTTGCTGTATCTGACCATTTCTGAAACACAAAAACAATTACAAATTATTGCGGACCTGTAAACAGATACTTTGAATTCAATAATGTTTTGCATTTACTTTCTCCCAAACCTAAATATGCTGCACTGCCCGTGAATTGATGTCACTTGTTAAATCCACTTCAATCAGTGTGGATGAAGGAGAGGAGACAGGTTAAAGAAGGATTTTTAAGCCTTGAGACAATTGAGACATGGATTGTGTATGTGTGCCATTCAGAGGGTGAATGGGCAAGACAGAAAATGTAAGTACTGTACCTTTGAACGAAGTATGGTAGTAGATGCCAGGCGCACCGGTTTGAGTCAAGAATTGCAACGATGCATCCAGCAAATTGACACAACTGTGGGAAGCATTGGAGTCAACATGGTCCAGTATCCCTGTGGAACGCTTCGACACCTTGTAGAGTCCATACCCAGACGAATTGAGGTTGTTCTGAGGGCAAAAGTGTGGGGGGGAGGTGCAACTCAATATTAGGAAGGTGTTCTTAATGTTTGGTATAATCAATGTATGTATTACAGTGAGGGAAAAAAGTATTTGATCCCCTGCTGATTTTATACGTTTGCCCACTGACAAAGAAATGATCAGTCTATAATTTTAATGGTAGGATAATTTGAACAGTGAGAGACAGAATAACAACAACAAAATCCAGAAAAACGCATGTCAAAAATGTTATAAATTGATTTGCATTTTAATGAGGGAAATAAGTATTTGACCCCCTCTCAATCAGAAAGATTTCTGGCTCCCAGGTGTCTTTTATACAGGTAACGAGCTGAGATTAGGAGCACACTCTTAAAGGGAGTGCCCCTAATCTCAGTTTGTTACCTGTATAAAAGACACCTGTCCACAGAAGAAATCAATCAATCAGATTCATTTTACTTGTTTTACTCTCCACCATGGTCAAGACCAAAGAGCTCTCCAAGGATGTCAGGGACAAGATTGTAGACCTACACAAGGCTGGAATGGGCTACAAGACCATCGCCAAGCAGCTTGGTGAGAAGGTGACAACAGTTGGTGTGATTATTCGCAAATGGAAGAAACACAAAATAACTGTCAATCTCCCTCGGCCTGGGGCTCCATGCAAGATCTCACCTGGTGGAGTTGCAATGATCATGAGAACAGTGAGGAATCAGCCCAGAACTACACGGGAGGATCTTGTCAATGATCTCAAGGCAGCTGGGACCATAGTCACCAAGAAAACAATTGGTAACACACTACGCCGTGAAGGACTGAAATCCTGCAGTGCCCGCAAGGTCACCCTGCTCAAGAAAGCACATATACAGGGCCGTCTGAAGTTTGCCAATGAACATCTGAATGATTCAGAAGAGAACTGGGTGAACGTGTCTTGGTCAGATGAGACCAAAATCGAGCTCTTGGGCATCAACTCAACTCGCCGTGTTTAGGAAGAGGAGGAATGCTACCTATGACCCCAAGAACACCATCCCCACCGTCAAACATGGAGGTGGAAACATTATGCTTTGGAGGTGTTTTTCTGCTAAGGGGACAGGACAACTTCACCGCATCAAAGGGACGATGGACGGGGCCATGTAACGTCAAATCTTGGGTGAGAACCTTTCCCTCAGCCAGGGCATTGAAAATGGGTCGTGGATGGGTATTCCAGCATGGCAATGACCCAAAACACACAGCCAAGGCTACAAAGGAGTGGCTCAAGAAGAAGCACATTAAGGTCCTGGAGTGGCCTAGCCAGTCTCCAGACCTTAATCCCATAGAAAATCTGTGGAGGGAGCTGAAGGTTCGAGTTGCCAAACGTCAGCCTCGAAAACTTAATGACTTGGAGAAGATCTGCAAAGAGTAGTGGAACAAAATCCCTCCTGAGATGTGTGCAAACCTGGTGGCCAACTACAAGAAACGTCTGATCTCTGTGATTGCCAACAAGGGCTTTGCCACCAAGTACTAAGTCATGTTTTGCAGAGGGGTCAAATAATTATTTCCCTCATTAAAATGTAAATCAATTTATAACATTTTTGACATGTGTTTTTCTGGATTTTGTTGTTGTTATTCTGTCTCTCACTGTTGAAAATAAACCTACCATTAAAATTATAGACTGATCATGTCTTTGTCAGTGGGCAAACGTACAAAATCAGCAGGGGATAAAATACTTTTTTTTCTCACTGTATGTATAACGTCCGAAGCTTCGTTTGATCACGTGCTTTTTCAAACCATGTGTTGCAAAATGCGAGATCCCACTGATTTCGTCGTGGTTCCGGTGCTTTCATAGATTCCAAGCTGCTTTCAAACACCGACCTCTACTGGACACCGCGCTTACAAATATAGTTATGATTTTGTACAAAAAGTTTCACCTGACTGGTAGTTAGCAGGTCGACTATGGAATACTCAGGGGTATGAGGGTATGAGGTCGAATCCTGTAGAAGGCACACTATTTTGAAAACCACACTTTCTGCACTGTTGTTAAAATAATTTGTTTTATTTAGTATAGTATAAGCTTCTGTGTTAATCATCCTAAATAATGCCATAAATTCAGTACAAGGCAAAAAAGTGAAGCATGATGTATGCAAACATGGTATTCCAACTGATTATAGGCTACGAAAGCCAATGACTTACCGCTGCACCACAGACTTTTGATGAAAACAGTGGAGAAATGTTTTTATATCTGATAATCACACGCTGCTATTTATTGTTGACCGGCAGATGTCACTAATGTGCATTGTGAACAGATAATGAAGCTCTGAGTAATGAACCGTTTTTCAGCACAATTTGGTGAAAGCGTTGAATTCTTCAGACAGCTTCAATATTCCATCACTAGCGAAAACACAACGAAGGCTGGTCACCAGCCTATGCTGCTCTATGCTGTTTTTTTCTCCAGGGTTGTCTCAAACTATTCAAGGGTCTATTGCATTTTCATGTGACATCTTTTATGATAATAGAAAACAAAGGTTTATTCCTATCACATTGCTTTTACTGTTTAATGAGGAGAAAAAGAAAACTCATTTCAGCCCCTTTTACTTGTGGCTAACAAGATCAGTGTTTAATGGCCAGAGACATGCAAACTAAGACCATGTGAGTATTGTGTAGTGATCACCCTCTTCACTGGTCTAGGCCTTATTTTCACTGTAATCGTGTTATGGAACCCAGGCATGCAAAGTAACTCACCAAACTCTGTTTATTGCTAGGCTAAATAGTATTGTCAAAAGGAGGACACCAAACATAGATATATCTTGCATTGCCTGTGTTCAACACTTTCCACTGATACATACACTGGGTAGTGGAGTAGTGGACAATGGAGCCCATTGTTGTCGAAGGGTTAATTGGAGGTTGCAGGGCTCTATCCACCTCAGCTGTTCTCTGGGTTTATCCATTGACAGCAGCTATGATGTGAGGCACACAGTCTTTAATAAAGCCAGTCAGCCAGCCAGTCAGTCAGCCAGGGATGGTTCTGAGGAGTGGTGGAGTGATTCAGGGGAATGAGATTACATGTGATGGTGGGGATGAGAAGGAAGAGGGCACTGTACAGTGTTAATCTGATTTGATCTACAGTTACATTTGGTGTTTGTTTTGCTTTTACAGACACCTGCATCTGTATCCACGGTGACTATACATTTCACATCACCTAACTGTGTGGTGTAAATAAACAAGTTATTTGAGTTTCCTAGAACTCTTTACCTCAAACCTTTACACAGCGGGCAAAACTGGTTGCAATGACGTCCATAGCATTATAGCCAGTTCCGGTTGTAAACTGGTTGTAACAACGTCATTTCAACCGCTAGTATGTTCCACTCCTGACCACTTAAATTCCTCTGTTTCCTTACTCCCTGGATCGTCTCACCATCCCTCTCGGCTGTTTCTACTTGCAGACCCTCCAGGAAATCTTCCAGACAGAGATGCTCATAGAGAGCCTGAAGAAGGCTCTGAGGGACAAGGAGTGCCCCCTGAAGGTGGCCCAGACCAGGCTGGACGAGAGGACACGCAGGCCCAACGTGGAGCTCTGCAGGGACAACCCACACCACAGGTAGGGCTCAGATGAGTGTAGGTATTTTATTGCCAGTAAAATTAGGACGTTTTACACTTCCATTCCCTTCCTTCTCCTCCATTTGCCTCTTCTCCTCTGTTTACCTTCCTATCCCTATTTCCAGACTGGTGGGAGAAGTGAGGGAGATAGAGGACACCATCCACAAGCTGCGTGAGAGGCTGATGGAGGCAGAGAACACCCTGCAGAAGCTGGTGAAGACCAAGGCTGCCCTGGAGCATGACCTGTCCATCAAGGCTAACTCCCTGTTCCTGGATCAGGAGAAGTGCATGGGCATAAGGAAGAGCTTCCCCAGTACCCCACGCCTGGTGGGATACACCTAAAGCCATCACATAGTACTGTACATGTATACCACAGGAGGTTGGTGGCATCTTAATTGGGGAGGACTGGCTTGTGGTAATGGCTGGAGCGGAATCAGTGGAATGGTATCAAATACACCAAACACATGGTTTCCATGTGTTTGATGCTATTCCATTTGCTCCGTTCGAGCCATTATTATGAGCCGTCCTCCCCTCAGCAGCCTCCACTGATGTATACCATAAGAGTAGTGGGCTACACTTGGGCCTTGATAAAGTTTTGTATACATTAACTAAGGCCCAGAGTTTTTCCTGGTCAAGAGCATTGCACAAGGCCAGGGAAAACTCCTGGATCCTATATAAATGAGCACCACATAGGGATAGGGAAACTCATATCCTTTCCACACTATTGTACCGACCTGAACAGTACTGTTCTGGCTCCGCTTTTCACATTGTCCTTTCTAGCATGGTTCCAGCCAAGCCATCTGAGCAATACTGCTCTGGTCTGGTTCTTCCTACACTGAGAAACCAGGCCAGAGCACTATAGCTCAGATGAAGAATGATGGAGGAATCTAGTGCCCAAAAGCTTGTTTTAGCATGGGCACCACCATTGAGGACTTTTACCATTTTGGAGTAGTCAACTGGGTGGGACTTCCTTTAGGTTAAGGAATGATCACATAATTCCGTCCAGGACATCAGGAGGGATCGGCAAATTATTTATAATTGTGAGTAAACATTCCATAACTGCAGGTGGCAGTAAATCGCTAACCATGGCTTTCTACCTGTTCAAACAACACACTACAGGTGGAAGTATATACCATTTCAGTTTGTTTGCCAACTCATATAAGTAGTAGAAGAAGAAAATGGACTACTTCAAAATGTAGATGGCCTCAATGGCGCTTCCCATTCTCTCACAGACACCATAATGGGACAGATACAATGATGCGATACTTATGAATGCTGTGTGTGTGTTTGGTTGTTTGTATTTGGAAGAGGGATATCAGGGTTGTGGGGGATGGGGTAAATTATCTAGACAAATTATGTTGACCCTGCTAGATATGAAGATGATAAATTATCATAGATTCTATTTTAAGTCCTGAAGACATTCACTGTGTGGCCTAATTTCTTAATGAAGTGACTTGTCGCTCTCGAAGCAAAACATGTAATATGATGTCACACTGTTACAGCCAATGCAGTATGAGACTGAAAAGAAGCATTATGGTTGTATGTTACAAATATGACTTTTAACTCCCCTGTCTGATTTTGTGTCATAAGTTTATTTGTACACTATTTGTACAGTACATTCCCACAAGCACAAAAGCAGTGAGACTTACCACTTCAACTGGAGGAGAAGACGGGTACAAAACATGGCAGCAAAGAATGTGCTTACCAAGTATGGGTATTTTGCTTTTAAACTGGTCCATAGTACATACAATGCCTTCGGAAAGTATTCAGACCCCTTAACTTTTTCCACATTTTGTTACGTTACAGCCTTATTCTAAAATGGATTAAATAAATACAAATCGTCAGCAATCTACACACAATACCCCATAATGACAAAGCAAAAACAGGTTTTTAGAAATATTAGCAAATGTATTAAAATTAAAAAACAGAAATAGCTTATTTACATAAGTATTCAGACCCTTTGCTATGATACTCGAAGTTGAACTCAAGTGCATCCTGTTTCCATTGATCATCCTTGAGATGTTTCTACAACTTGATTAGAGTCCACATGTGGTAAATTCAATTGATTGGACATGATTTGGAAAGGCACACACCGGTCTGTATAAGACCCACAGTTGACAGTGCATGTCAGAGCAAAAACCAAGCCATGAGATCGAAGGAATTGTCCGTAGAGCTCCGAGACAGGATTGTGTTGAGGCACAGATCTGGGGAAGGGTACCAAAAACATTCTGCAGCATTGAAGGCCCCCAAGAACACAGTGGCCTCCATCATTCTTAAATGGGAATGATGGAAATTCTTCCTAGAGCTGGCCGCCCGGCCAAACTGAGCAATCGGGGGAGAAGGGCCTTGGTCAAGGAGGTGACCAAGAACCCGATGGTCACTCTGACAGAGCTCCAGAGAACCTTCCAGAAGGACAACCATCTCTGCAGCACTCCACCAACCAGGCCTTTACGGTAGAGTGGCCAGACGGAAGCCACTCTTCAGTAAAAGGCACATGACAGCCCGCTTGGAGTTTGCCAAAAGGCACCTAAAGACTCTCAGACTCTCAGACTCTCAGACTCTCATACTCTCATACTCTCAGACCAAGATTGTCTGGTCTGATGAAACCAAGATGGAACTCTTTGACCTGAATGCCAAGCGTCACGTCTGGAGGAAAACTGGCACCATCTCTACGGTGAAGCATGGTGGTGGCAGCATCATGCTGTGGGGATGTTTTTCAGCAGCAGGAACTGGGAGACTAGTCAGGATCGAGGGAAAGATGAACGGAGCAAAGTACAGAGAGATCCTTGATGAAAACCTGCTCCAGAGCGCTCAAGACTTCAGACCGGGGTGAAGGTTCACCTTCCAACAGGACAACGACCCTGAGCACACAGCCAAGGCAATGCAGGAGTGGCTTTGGGACAAGTCCCTGAATGTCCTTGAGTGGCCCAGCCAGAGCCCAGACTTGAACCCGATCTAACATTTCTGGAGAGACCTGAAAATAGCTGTGAAGCAATGCTCCCCATCCAACCTGACAGAGCTTGAGAGAATATGCAGAGAAGAATGGGAGAAACTCCCCAAATACAGGTGTGCTAAGCTTGTAGCGTCATACCCAAGAAGACTTGATGCTGTAATCACTGCCAAAGGTGCTTCAACAAAGTACTGAGTAAAGGGTCTGAATACTTATCTAATGTGATATTTCTGTTTTTTATTTTTAATAATTTAGCAATTTCTAAAACCCTGTTTTTGATTAGTCATTATGGGGTATTGTGTGTAGATTGATGAGGGAAAAAATGTAATCCATTTTAGAAGAAGGCTGTAACGTAACAAAATGTAGAAAAAGTCAAGGGGTCTGAATACTTTCCAAAGGCACTGTATGTTACTACTGATGTTTGAGTGTTTGGAATTCAGGTATTTGCACTTGAAAGCAGTGAAATTAATGCCATTACGGATATGCATGTATTCACTAAGAAAAACACAATTAATCACTGATTCCTAAGAAAGAAAAAATAAAAAAGAGATTAAAAATATAAAACACACATCTCAGGCCAAATAGTGGAAGAGTTGGCAGAAGAGTTGAGATGCATTCCGTGTCATCAACCAATGAGATTAGAGAGGTGAAAGGACCACTATTAGGGTCAAAGGTCAAAAACAAAATGTGTAATATTAACTTTATTAACTTAATGTGAACAAAAACGTGGTTCCTTACAATATAAGGCATTGGAGTTGGTAAGATATCACAAACAGATCTGGGACTCAAGCTAGGCCAGGGTACAGACCTATTGGTCCGACGGTCTCTGGAACACATAGAGATAGATAGAGGACTCTAGTGCCGAAAAGCCCGTTTTAGCATGGGCAGCGCAATTGAGGACTTTCCCCATTTTTAAGTGGTCAACTGGGTGGGACTTCCTATGCGGTTGAGCAAGGATCACATAATGCCATCCAGGTCACAAGGAAGGATTAGCCAATTAATTATACTTGTGAGGACATTCCATAACTACCTGGCGGTTAAGAGCGTTGGGCCGGTAACCGAAAGGTCGCTGGTTCGAATCCCCGAGCCGACTAAGTGAAAAATCTTTCGATGTTCCCTTGATCAAGGATGTTAACCCTAATTGCTCCTGTAAGTCGCTCTAGATAAGAGCGTCTGCTAAATGACTAAAATGTAAATGTAAAACAACACACCCTAGTGTGCACCCTTTAAGTTTGTTTGCCTACTCATAGAAGTAGTAGAAAAATAAAATAGACAACTTCAAAATGGAGATGGCCTCAATGGCGCTGCCAATGCTCTCACAGACGCCATAATGGGACAGATACAATGATGTGATTTCTATCTAAGTCTATGGTGGAACATTATCACGACAATTTACACTGCTCAAAAAAATTAAGGGGACACTTAAACAACACAATGTAACTCCAAGTCAATCACACTTCTGGTGAAATCAAACTGTCCACTTAGGAAGCAACACTGATTGACAATACATTTCACATGCCACAAATGTGCATGTGTCTGCTCAAACGGTCAGAAACAGACTCTATGAGGGTGGTATGAGGGCCCGACGTCCACAGGTGGGGGTTGTGCTTACAGCCCAACACCGTGCAGGACGTTTGGCATTTGCCAGAGAACACCAAGATTGGCAAATTCGCCACTGGCGCCCTGTGCTCTTCACAGATGAAAGCAGGTTCACACTGAGCACATGTGACAGACGTGACAGAGTCTGAAGACGCCGTGGAGAACGTTCTGCTGCCTGCAACATCCTCCAGCATGACCGGTTTGGCGGTGGGTCAGTCATGGTGTGGGGTGGCATTTCTTTGGGGGGCCGCACAGCCCTCCAGGTGCTCGCCAGGGGTAGCCTGACTGCCATTAGGTACCGAGATGAGATCCTCAGACCCCTTGTGAGACCATATGCTGGTGCGGTTGGCCCTGGGTTCCTCCTAATGCAAGACAATGCTAGACCTCATGTGGCTGGAGTGTGTCAGCAGTTCCTGCAAGAGGAAGGCATTGATGCTATGGACTGGCCCCGCCCGTTCCCCAGACCTGAATCCAATTGAGCACATCTGGGACATCATGTCTCGCTCCATCCACCAACGCCACGTTGCACCACAGACTGTCCAGGAGTTGGCGGATGCTTTAGTCCAGGTCTGGGAGGAGATCCCTCAGGAGACCATCCGCCACCTCATCAGGAGCATGCCCAGGCGTTGTAGGGAGGTCATACAGGCACGTGGAGGCCACACACACTACTGAGCCTCATTTTGACTTGTTTTAAGGACATTACATCAAAGTTGGATCAGCCTGTAGTGTGGTTTTCCACTTTAATTTTGAGTGTGATTCCAAATCCAGACCTCCATGGGTTGATAAATTTGATTTCCATTGATCATTTTTGTGTGATTTTGTTGTCAGCACATTCAACTATGTAAAGAAAAAAGTATTTAATAAGATTATTTCATTCATTCAGATCTAGGATGTGTTATTTTAGTGTTCCCTTTATTTTTCAGTTGGCAAGACAGCTCAAACAGGCCTGGGACTCAGGTTAGGGGACGCCCCTATTGGTCTGACAGTCCATGGAAACCAAACAGTGGTTCTGAGCGAGCAGCAGATGTGGCAGTAATCTCCAAACAAACATACAGGATTAGCTCCTACACGGGGGAGAGAGGCTAGAACAAATATATAGGCCTCTAGAGGGTTACTTAGTCAACCTCTGATATATCAGAGTCAATAACTGACCTGGATGTTACCTTTGTGAGCCATTGACACTTACTGGTGGTGGTTTTACTACTGTTTGAAAGGAAGCTCAGGCCCTGGAAAGCCAGTAAAAGTTCAAGTGAAACTGGCACAGGTGGCCATTTTTTAAATTACTTCCAGGCTGCTTGGTAACCATTATTATAAACCATTCAGTGAGTGAGTATTATTGTATTGTCAACTTCATTTAGGATTTGATTGTCTTTATTGGTGGAATATAAATAATATGACACAATGGTGGAGCTGTGTATATAGTACACCCCCCCATCTTCTCCTTCTCCCTGTATAGATGATCCCTCTCTCCCTCTTCTCCCCCTTTCCTTCTCCTTCTCCTCCTCTTCCTGATGTCTTTATAGTCCAGCATTGGGCGGTGATGGTGATGGATTGTTGTAATAGTTTTCCGGAAGTCCACAGACACATACGGTAACACACAGAGAAAGGCATGAACTATATTGATTTCCATTTTACTCCTTTGAGCGCCTGTACTAACCATTAACACATCTCCACCCCTGACCCAAACCAACCCTGCTACTTCAACACACTAACCTCCAACACAACCTTATGTTCAACCAAGGAATGTCAGTCTTGCTCAAGTCCGACGGAAAAGAGCAACATCTTACGAGTTCCAACCCGACTTTGCTATTTAGTGACTTTTTTTCATGTTTATCTTTTTTTGTACAGAAAGTTCATACTATTATCACATATGACTGTTAAGCTATGGTTAAACCCAGCACTCAGAGAAACAAAACACGACTAAGGGAGTGGAAGAAACAAAAATTATTTTAATAAAAGTTCAATTTGTCTTAGTCCAAAAACAACTGAAGAAAAGGAACAGAGTGGGCTAGTCGGCTCCGGAGGAAGGAGAGGCTGAGGCAGGCAGGCAGGCAGGCAGGTTGGGAGGTATGTCTGAACTGAAGACAAAACAAACGACAGGTTAAGGAGAGTAAAGAGCCAGGCTGAAGACAAAGACAATTTACTCTACTGGTGAGCCAAGTTACCGCTCTAGTAAGAACAATGATCTGGCGCCGGTGGAGAGCCATGCCCAGGAATTAGTAGTGCAGGTTGATGAGAGAATAGGATGCAGCTGCGTAGGCAGGAATCACTGGAAACAACCCGCAGCTGCACAGGAGAGGCAGATCCTGAGCACGCCCCCCGATCCACTCCAGACACACCCACATAATGGGGACAAACACACATACAGATACAACAGACAAAGAGGGGACAAAACAAGGAGGAAGGGAAACAGAAAAGGGAGAGACAAGCTGCCCACATAACAGTACCCCCCCCTCAATGGTCGCCACCTGGCGACCCACCAGGCCTGTCAGGGTTGTCGTGATGTAAGTCCGTGATCAGCTGAGGATCCAACACAAAACGCTTAGGGACCCAAGACCTCTCCTCTGGTCCATAACCTTCCCAATCGACTAGGTATTGGAGACCCCTACCCCGCCTCCGAGAGTCCAGGAGCCTACTGACGGTGTAGGCCGGATGGTCGTCAATGAGGCGAACAGGTGGAGGTGGACACAAAAGGCTGGAGGACACAGGTTTCAGTTGGGAGACGTGGAAAGTAGGGTGAATCTTCATGGCTGAAGGCAACTTCAAACGAACCGCAGCGGGGTTAACGATGGACTCCACCACAAACGGACCCAGGTACCGAGGAGACAGCTTGCGTGATTTGGTACGAAGAGGTACGTTCTTAGATGACAGCCAAACTTCTTGACCAGGATGAAACACAGGTGCGGGAGTCCTGCTCCTATCCGCTGTCGTCTTGTTCCTGTCGGTGGTCCGAAGCAACGCTTCCCGAGCGTCGCTCCACACTCTCTGGCAGCGGCGGAGGTTCTCCTGAACCGAAGGAACAGCCAATTCCTTCTCCTGAGCAGGAAACAGAGGGGGTTGATAACCCATGGTTACTTCGAAGGGTGAAAGGCCGGTGGCAGAGGTGGTGAGGGAGTTGTGGGCGTACTCTATCCAAGGCAGATGTTTGGCCCAGGATGATGGATGATGAGCAGCCACACAACGAAGGGTTGCTTCGAGGTTTTGATTGGCTCTTTCTGTTTGACCGTTGGTCTGGGGATGAAACCCTGAGGACAGACTAACGGAAGCACCCAAAGCAGAACAGAAAACCTTCCAAACACGGGAAGTAAACTGTGGGCCTCTATCAGATACGATGTGCACAGGTATTCCATGGGGACGGAATACATGTTGGACTAGGAGGTCCGCTGTCTCACTGGCAGACGGTAATTTTGGTAATGCTATATAGTGAACAGATTTAGAGAATCTGTCCACAATGGTAAGTATAGTATCATTACCTTCAGACTTGGGTAGGCCGGTGACAAAATCCATGGCTATGTGGGACCAGGGACGGCTGGGAACTGGGAGGGGTAGCAGCAGCCCCGAAGGGGACTGATGGGAGGCTTTGCCCCGAGCACAGGTTGAACAGGCTGCCACAAATCCCGAACGTCAGTTTCCATTGAAGGCCACCAAAAATGTCTCCTAAGCAGCGTCAACGTGCGTCTCATCCCAGGGTGACCAGCAAAACGGGAGGTGTGAATCCACTGCAACACCTGAGACCGGACCGTCTCGGGAACAAAGAGTAGGTTGGGAGGTCCATCACCCGGTCCCGGGTCCGTGGCAAGTGCAGTCTTCACAAGAGACTCGATCTCCCACTGTACTGCCGCCACGACACATGAGGAAGGTAGGACTGCCTCAGGCTCGCTGGTCTCCGAAGGGTCAGCAAACTGGCGGGACAAAGCATCTGGTTTAACATTTCTTGACCCCGGTCTGTATGTAAGAATAAAGTTAAACCTACTAAAAAACAGGGCCCATCTGGCTTGGCGTGAGTTGAGTCTCTTAGTGGCTTGGATGTAAGCCAAGTTTTTGTGGTCTGTCCGGCAGTTCAGCTCCATCCAGCCAGTGCCGCCATTCTTCCAGTGCTAGCTTAACCGCCAGCAGTTCCCGGTTTCCAACGTCGTAATTCCGTTCTGTGGGTGACAATTTCTTGGAGAAAAAAGCACAGGGGTGAAGCTTTTGGTCAGTGGGGGAGCGCTGGGAGAGGACTGCTCCCACACCTGAGTCAGACGCGTCCACCTCCACAATAAACTGCAGAGAGGTATTGGGGTGTATCAACACGGGGGAGGTGGAAAACAGTTCCTTCAAAACCCCTACCGCCTGCTCCGCCTCAGGGGACCACAGAAAAGGGACTTTTGGGGATATGAGTCTAGTAAGGGGTGCCACCACTTTACTAAAACCCTTAATGAATCTACGGTAGAAGTTAGCAAAGCCCAAAAATCGTTGAAGTTGCTTACGGGTGGTGGGTGTGGGCCATTCCGTCACTGCCCGGATCTTCTCGGGGTCCGCCTTCACCTGCCCGCTCTCAATGATGAAACCAAGGAACGATGTAGACTGTTTGTGGAACTCACACTTTTCTTCTTTGACGTACAGCTTATTCTCCAAGAGCCGTTGAAGGACTTGACGGACGTGTGACTCATGCTCCTCGGGTGACTTGGAAAAAACAAGAATATCATCCAGGTATACAAAGACAAAGCGGTTCCAAAAATCCCTAAGAACATCGTTCACCATGGCTTGGAATACAGCAGGGGCGTTTGAGAGCCCAAAGGGCATGACCAAATACTCAAAATGCCCCAGTGGAGTGTTGAAAGTGGTTTTCCACTCATCTCCCTTTCGGATTCTGACAAGGTGATAAGCGTTCCTGAGGTCGAGCTTGGAGAAAACTGTGGCGCCATGCAGAGGTTCAAAAGCTGAGTTGATGAGTGGAAGGGGATACTTGTTTTTAACAGTTATGTTGTTTAAACCCCTGAAATCGATACAGGGGCGTAACGACTTGTCTTTCTTTTCAACGAAAAAGAAACCTGCACCCAAAGGAGACGACGAGGGACGGATTATGCCCGAGGCCAGAGAATCACCAATATACTGCTCCATTGCCTCTCTTTCCGGTCGGGACAGATTGTATAAGCGACTAGAGGGCAAGGGAGCACCAGGAAGCAGTTCAATAGGGCAATCATAAGGCCTATGTGGTGGTAGAGACAGAGCCTTGTCCTTACTGAAAACCTCCGCTAAGTCATGGTATTCTTTGGGGACAGATGACAGATCGAGAGGAGCTGAGGGATGAGTTGGGTTACACTTAGTGGGGGGAACCGCTGACCTAAGGCACTCTGAATGGCAGTTAGTGCTCCAACTGAGAATGGTGTGACGTGTGTTACGAACCCCGTGGCTTTAAACGTCTAGGGTGGATGGAGAAGAGACCCGTAACATAAGTCATGCAAATTAGACTCGTGACATGGAACAGTGAGAACAAAAACTACACGACAACCATAGACTACCGTCAAACATAAAATGTTTATTGCTGAACACACGGTAAAGGTTTGGGAAAAAGGGCTGAGCAGGACCCAAGAAATGAAACAATAGTGTAAAACACCCCTAAACTGATCTTGCCTGCCTCAAGAACCGCTAAGCTACTGCTAATCATACAAAAGTACAGGGGGTGGTCCGCTCAGGTCTAACTAGTGTTTTTAGACAGTTTTCTTCCCAAGGGTAATGTACGCCCAAGGGCAACTTGCTTAAACTCCCCTTTTCCCAGAAACACACAAAGTTACCAAACAGAGTAATCAGCAAATGAGTGAGTACACAAAACACAGGACACCACAGTATCCAAACTCACATACGGAAATAGTCTCTCTAACAAAGTTACCAAACACAACTGACTGGTTTTTATACAATGGGATGTGTGATTGAAAAACCAGCAACAGGTGGTGCAATGCAGAGGAATGTTCACTGATTGGTCCACCTTAGCAATCAGCAGACACCTCAACGACCACCAATCAGGAACATACAGGACACCTGTGATTAGGGCAGAAGGAGAGGAAAAACACAAAAAGACACAGGATACCTGTATCCGTAACACGTGTCCAATCAATTTGTGGGTTGTGAAGAGCCAACCAGGGGAAGCCAAGGATTAGGGAGGTAGCTGAGCCAGACATCACTCTTAACTGAATGCTTTCACAATGATTGCCAGAAATCACTAGGGAAACGGGGGTGGTTTGATGAGTTATCTCCGCAAGGAGGCGCCCATCAAGGGCTGTGACCCGAATGGGGGTAGGTAGTGGCTCCATGGGGATACGAGCTTGTGTAACGAACTGGTGGCTACTAAAGTTGTCTTCTGCACCTGAGTCTATGAGAGCTGAGAGTGGCAGGGAATGACTCTGGAAACGTAAGGTTACAGGTACTTGTAATCGGGGAATGATGGGTTCAGGATCTAACTCTGGGCTCGCAAGTAGACCCACCGTTACGAGCGAGCCTTGTCTTTTGGTCGCTTAGGGCATGTAGCCAGAATGTGTGTGGCGTCTCCACAGTACAGGCGCTCACCTGCCTGGAGGCGCCGTTGCCGCTCTGCTGGAGGTAGTCGAGCTCGACCCACTTGCATTGGTTCCTCCTCTGTGCTCGGGATGGGATCAGGAACAAGAAGCTGCCGGCTCCGGGGAGGCGAGACTCGAGTGGTTGAAGGCTGGGGAACTCGTCCTCCTAGATGTGGCCGACCGCCACTCTCCCGACGCCTCTCCCGCAACCGGTTGTCTAGCTTAATGGACAGGGAAACGAGAGAATGTAAATCATGTGGCTCGTCACGAGCAGCCAGTTCATCCTTAATGGCTTCATTCAAACCGTTTAGAAATGCTCCTTGAAGTGCCACATTGTTCCACTTGGAGTCCGCTGCCAAAGTCCAGAACTCAATAGAGTACTCAGCCACACTGTTAGAACCCTGCCTCAAATTAAAAAGTATCTTGGAGGAATTACCCACATGGTCAGGATGGTCAAAAACAGTCTTCAATTTAGCAGAAAAATCAGCAAAAGTCAATCCAGTCAAAGTTTGATTTGAGCATACAGCCTCAGCCCAAACCAGAGCTCTCCCTCTTAACAGCCCCAGAACATAATGTACCTTAGAGGAATCAGTAGAAAACGACAGTGGTCTCTGCCGAAAAATCAAGTCACACTGAAGCAAAAATCCCCGGCACTTGTCCAATTCTCCATTGAACGGTTCAGGCGACGTGACAGGGGGTTCCCGATGGAACGAAGCCTGCATAATGTCCGAGGAAACAACTTGGGGTGCATCAAACTGGGGGTCAGAGAGAGATGGAGAACTGATAACAGACAATTTAGAGACTTGTGTAGTTAACTGAGTCACCTGGTTCAGCAGTTGATGATTATCTTCCAAAAGAGTCCGAATCAATTGGTCATGCTGTCCTAGCAACGTTCCTTGAGCCTGGATAGCTTGTTGGAAGCTGTCTTCGTTTGCCCCGTGCTGTTTCTCTGTTGGGTCCATGGCGCCAGATCGTTCTGTTAAGCTATGGTTAAACCCAGCACTCAGAGAAACAAAACACGACTAAGGGAGTGGAAGAAACAAAAATTATTTTAATAAAAGTTCAATTTGTCTTAGTCCAAAAACAACTGAAGAAAAGGAACAGAGTGGGCTAGTCGGCTCCGGAGGAAGGAGAGGCTGAGGCAGGCAGGCAGGCAGGCTGGAAAGCAGGTTGGGAGGTATGTCTGAACTGAAGACAAAACAAACGACAGGTTAAGGAGAGTAAAGAGCCAGGCTGAAGACAAAGACAATTTACTCTACTGGTGAGCCAAGTTACCGCTCTAGTAAGAACAACGATCTGGCGCCGGTGGAGAGCCATGCCCAGGAATTAGTAGTGCAGGTTGATGAGAGAATAGGATGCAGCTGCGTAGGCAGGAATCACTGGAAACAACCCGCAGCTGCACAGGAGAGGCAGATCCTGAGCACGCCCCCCGATCCACTCCAGACACACCCACATAATGGGGACAAACACACATACAGATACAACAGACAAAGAGGGGACAAAACAAGGAGGAAGGGAAACAGAAAAGGGAGAGACAAGCTGCCCACATAACAATGACCGCCAATCACTTCTGGACATCAGATTGACAGTTACTAACCTCGATTTGGATTTCAACTCCGACTCAGCTGTTCCCTTGTTCATACCGAACTGCATTCCTTTGTTTCATGGGCTACGAAAACACAGCAGGCGTAGATGCGGTAGATGAGCCGGAATCCTGGTGAGACTGACGGCCCTCCCCTCCGTTCTATTGGCAAATGTCAAGTCACTCGAGAATAAGATGGATGAGCTTCATTCCAGAGTCTCCTGTCTGAGAGACTTGAAAAGCTGCAAAATTATATGCCTTGCAGAGACGTGGCTGGATGACTCTATGTACGTAGAACTCAGTGGTTTCTCCATGCAGTGGCATGATCGAACGAAGGGGGAGGGGTCTGCCTCTTCATAAACAACAACTGTTGCGCTGCTTCCATTGTTAATGAAATCTTTAGCTTTTGCTCACCTGATATAGAATACCTCATGGTAAACTGCAAACCCTTTTATTTACCAAGAGAGTTCTCATATGTAATTATCACGACTGTCTACATCCCTACACAAGACAACATCACTTCTGCACTCAACAAACTGTATTGGGACATAAACAAACAAGAAACCGCTCACCAAGAGGCAGCGTTTCTGGTGGGCGGAGACTTTAACGCGAGGAAACTTAAAACCGTTCTACCTCACTTCTACAATTATGCCTCCTGCACCACTAGGGGTGCTAAAACTCTAAACCACTTTTATTCTACCCACAGAAACGCATACAAGGCCCTCCCTCGTCCTCCTTTCAGCAAATCTAACCACAACTCTATTCTCCTGCTTTCTGTTTACAAACAAGAGCTCAAACAGGAAGTACCAGTGAAGCGCTCAATACATAAGTGGTCCGATGAAGCAGACGCAAGGCTACAAGACTGTTTTGCTAGTACAGACGGGGATATGTTCCAGGATTCATCCGATAGCATTGAAGAGTTAACCACATCAGTCCACCCCTGTCACGGGCTTCATCAATAAGTGCATAAACAACGTCGCCCCACAGTGACTATACGAACGTATCCCAACCAAAAACCATGGATTACAGGCTAAATCCACGCTGGGCTAAAGGCTAGAGCTGCCGCTTAAAAGGAACAGAATACAGACATGGAGGCATACAAGAAAGCCCGCTGTGACCTCCGATGAGAAATCAAAAATGCAAAAGGACAATATACAGTGCCTTGCAAAGTATTTATCCCCCTTGGCGTTTTTCCTATATTGTTGCATTACATCCTGTAATTTCAATTGATTTTTATTTGGATTTCATGTAATGGACATACACAAAATATGCCAATTGATGAAGTGAAATGAAAAAAATAACTGGTTTCAAAAAATTCTAAAATCTAAATAACAGAAAGGTGGTGCGTGCATATGTATTCACTGCCTTTGCAATGAAGCACCTAAATAAGATCTGGTGCAACCAATTACCTTCAGAAGTTACATAATTAGTTAGATTGCACACAGGTGGACTTTATTTAAGTGTCATATGATCTGTCACATGATCTCAGTATATATACACCTGTTCTGAAAGGCCCCAGAGTCTGCAACACCACTAAGTAAGGGGCACCACCAAGCAAGCGGCACCATGAAGACCAAGGAGCTCTCCAAACAGGTCAGGGACAAAGTTGTGGAGAAGTACAGATCAGGGTTATAAAAAAATATCAGGAACTTTGAACATCCCATGGAGTATCATTAAATCAATTATTTAAAAAATGGAAAGAATATGGCACCACAACAAACCTGCCAAGAGAGGGCCGCCCACCAAAACTCACGGACCAGGCAAGGAGGGCATTAATCAGAGAGGCAACAAAGAGACAAAGATAACCCTGAAGGAGCTGCAAAGCTCCACAGCGGAGATTGGAGTATCTGTCCTTAGGACCACTTTAAGCCGTACACTCCACAGAGCTGGGCTTTACTGAAGAGTGGCCAGAAAAAAGCCATTGCTTAAAGAAAAAAATAAGCAAACACGTTTGGTGTTCGCCAAAAGGCATGTGGGAGACTCCCCAAACATATGGAAGAAGGTACTCTGGTCTGATTAGACTAAAATTGAGCTTTTTGGCCATCAAGGAAAACGCTATGTCTGGCGCAAACCCAACACCTATCATCAACCTGAGAACACCATCCCCACAGTGAAGCATGGTGGTGGCAGCATCATGCTGTGGGGATGGTTTTCATCAGCAGGGACTGGGAAACTGTTCAGAATTGAAGGAATGATGGATGGCGCTAAATACAGGGAAATTCTTGAGGGAAACCTGTTTCAGTCTTCCATAGATTTGAGACTGGGACGGAGGTTCACCTTCCAGCAGGACAATGACCCTAAGCATACTGCTAAAGCAACACTTGAGTGGTTTAATGGGAAACATTTCAATGTCTTAGAATGGCCTAGTCAAAGCCCAGACCTCAATCCAATTGAGAATCTGTGGTATGACTTAAAGATTGCTGTACACCAGCGGAACCCATCCAACTTGAAGGAGCTGGAGCAGTTTTGCCTCGAAGAATGGGCAAAAATCCCAGTGGCTAGATGTGCCAAGCTTAGAGAGACATACCCTAAGAGACTTGCAGCTGTAATAGGTGGCTCTACAAAGTATTGACTTTGGGGGAATGAATAGTTATGCACGCTCAAGTTTTCAGTTCTTCATATTTCTTGTTTGTTTCACACAGAAATAGTCATTTAGCAGACGCTCTTATCCAGAGCAACTTACAGGAGCAATTAGGGTTAAGTGCCTTGCTCAAGGGCATATCAACAGATTTTTCACCTAGTCGGCTCAGGGATTAGAACCAGCAACCTTTCAGTTACTGGCACAACGCTCTTAACCACTAAGCTACCTGCCACCCCATCTTCAAGGTGGTAGGCATGTTGTGTAAATCAAATGATACAAACCCCCAAAAAATCTATTTTAATTCCAGGTTGTAAGGCAACAAAATAGGAAAAATGCCAAGTGGGGTGAATACTTTCGCAAGCCACTGTAGGAGGAAGGTGGATTCCTATTACACCGGCTCCGACACTCGTCGTATGTGGCAGGGCTTACAGACGATAACGGATTACAAAGGGAAACCCATCCGTGAGATGCCCAGTGAGGCATTTTATGCTTGCTTTGAGGAATACAACACTGAGTCTTGCGTGAAAGCCCCTGTTTTTCCGGATGACTGTGTGATCACGCTCTCCGTGGCAGATGTGAGTAAAACTTTTAAACAGGTTAACACTCACAAGTCCGCCAGGCCAGTCGGAATACCAGGTTGCATTCTTAAAGCATGCGCAGACCAGCTGGCAAGTGTCTTCAATGACATTTTCAATCTCTCCTTGTCCCAGTCTGTAATCCCAACATGTTTCAAGCTGACCACCATTGTTCCTGTTCCCAAGAACTTCATGGTAACCTGTTAAAATAACTATTACCCTGTAGCACTCACACGGGGTGGGTAGGCAACAAACAACACCTCCGCCACGCTGCCCCTCAACACGGGGGCCAGGGGTGTGTGCTTAGTCCCCTGTACTCCCTGTTCACCCACGACTGCGTGGCCACGCACGACTCCAACACCATCATCAACTTTGCTGAGTACAAGACGGTGGTAGGCCTGATCACCGATGACAATGAGACAGCCTACAGGGAGGACGTCAGAGACTTAGCAGTGTGGTCCCAGGACAACAACCTCTCCCTAAATGTCAGTAAGACCAAGGAGCTGATCGTGGTCTACAGGAGGGGAGAGCACGCCCTCATCCACACCGACAGGTCTGTAGTGGAGCGGGTCGAGAGCTTCAAGTTCCTTGGCGTCCACATCACTAAGGACTTAACATGGTCCACACACACCCACACAGTCGTGAATAGGACACGACAGCGCCTCTTCCCCCTCAGGAGGATGAAAAGATTTGACAAGGGCCCTTGGATCCTCAATAGGTTATACAGCTGCACCATTGAGACATTCTTGACTGGCTGCATCACTGCTTGGTATGGCAAATTCCCCTCCCTCGACCACAAAGAGCTACAGAGGGTGGTGCAGACAGCCCAGTACATCTCTGGGGCTGAGCTCCCTGTCATTTAGGACCTCTACTGGTACTGGTACTCCCTGTGTATAGCTCCATTCTTGTGTATTTTATTCCTCTTGTGTTACTATTTTTATTTTTCTTATTATTTTTTAACTCTGCATCGTTGGGAAGGGCTCGTAAGCAAGCATTCACGGTAAAGTTGTATTTGGCACATGTGACAAATAAAATTTTACTTGATTTGATACTTTTTGAATCCCTTTGAGTCCCTGCCCATCATCCACCTCTTCAAAGAGTATCTTAAATAAGAAATCTCAGTCTTACCCCCCCCCCCCAAAAAAAAAAAAGTGCACTTGTCTTTCCCTACTAGCACTGACTTTGCTGATAATTTCTTTATTGAGTAACAATGTACTTACTACGACTGCGATATGTGTTTCTCTCACCTAGCTATCTTAAGATGAATGCACTAACAGTAAGTCGCTCTTGATAAGAGCGTCTGCTAAATAATTCAAATGTAAAACGTAAACGTAAATTAATCTTGCATGTTTTATAGATAATGTTGTTCTATAAACTTCCATCACAAATTGACACTTTGAACACTATCAACCAGAGGTGTGGACTCGAGTCACATGACTTGGACTCGAGTATGACTCGAGTCACAAATTTGATGACTTGAGACTCGACTTAATAGAAAATAAAATAATAACTTGAGACTTGACTTGGACATGGAGCCTCAAGACTTGGTACTTGACTTGAAACTGATGACTGGAAATTATCTGGCCAGGTTTTGTAACGTTTTTTCACTCATTTTGTGTCACATAGTCTCTGTGGGTTACTCTCCACGCAGCCAGAGACTGTAGCTAGGTTTCCATTCAAATGGCGACAGATTTTCATGCGAATATTCTAAAATCGCATTTTCCCTCCAGTGGAGTGTTTCCTCCAAACTGACTTGTTGCGGAGGAAAATGTGTGTGGGATGAAATAGTGCACATAAAATTTTATTTTTTGCTTAAATTTTCATGGACAGAATAAAAATCCAAAGTTCAATGTGTTTCCATAGCATTTTCAACTGTACCGATAGTTTTGTCACAAAAAACTATTGCATTAAATAACAAATGTGCCTACTCTGGTCATGTGTTCTAGCCAACAGCTCAGTGGCTAGAACGCATGTGTCGGTAGGTTAGTCTACATGATGATATTATTATTGATAAGAGCAGTCAAGCATCGATCATCATGTCATCAGAATAAGACCCTCGATATTTATTGGAAAGGAGCATCAAGCTCATAGTGTGCACTTTCAACACCCTGTGAAGTTCAGCATAATTTACTTAATCTGTAGCCTAATAATCTGCATGGTTTCCCGAGTCATAGTGGGAAGACCACACACCATATCATCTCGTGACTCCAAGTTTGCTTTGATGGTGATGGTTATTATATCAGTATTTGCACATAAAGGCATTTCCACCGCCATTTCTCGCATAATACATTTTACCGACACAAAAAGATCCCACCATGTCGAATGAACAAATGATCTGTCTGCATTTATAAAATTCTACTGAAACTTCCTGTTTCCATCACAGCTGTCATAATTTTTTTTTATGGTATGACTTTACTTGCATGAAAACTGTGGATGGAAACGTGGTTAGTATCGCACTTGCAAAAACAAATGATTGGCTTGTGAAACGCACACTCGGTCCTCTGATTGGACCAATTAAAGTCAGTGCTAGTTGGGTGAGCTTGCATCTCTTTTTCTTTTTCCATCCATCCCTCCATCTCTCTTTCTGTTTTATATCCAAATGTCTGTGGTGTCTTCCAGGATGCATTTTATTTTACAGATATCCATTGCTGAGGTCAGAGCCAATAGACAGGGAGGGTTAACACACCCATACTGCTGTCCAATCTAACTGAAGGATCTGGGAAGAAGGCCCGGGTCTAAGCTGTGAGGCTACCCCAAATCCATTGCGAAAATCTGTTCATAGGTTAGGGTTATCCTAATTTCACACCGAAAAAAGTATGACAACATCATGCGCGGCACCACCACAGATAAAGGAGTGTTTCACTACGGAAATAATTTTGAAGTGGGTTGAGGTTCCTATAAAGATAAAGCAAAGGTTTATCGCTGAAGAAATACCTGTTGTTTTGAGTGTGTGTGTGTGTGTGTGTGTGTGTGTGTGTGTGTGTGTGTGTGTGTGTGTGTGTGTGTGTGTGTGTGTGTGTGTGCATGCTTGCGTGAGTCCCAGCAAGCTTGTTTTTGTGTTAGAGGTTAAACTTGCACTTTGATTCAGGGGTGCCATGTTTTATGACTGCACTGTATGTTATCTAGTGTTTGCACACTTCGCATTTGACACACATACAGTGGCTTGCGAAAGTATTCACACCCCTTGGCATTTTTCCTATTTTGTTGCCTTACAACCTGGAATTAAAATGGATTTGGGGGTTTGTAGAATTTGATTTACACAACATGCCTACCACTTCGAAGATGCAAAATATTTTTTTGTGTGAAACAAAACAAGAAATAAGACAAAAAAAACAGAAAACTTGAGCGTGCATAACTATTCATCCCCCCAAAGTCAATGCTTTCTAGAGCAACCTTTTGCAGCAATTACAGCTGCAAGTCTCTTGGGGTATGTCTCTATAAGCTTGGCACATCTAGCCACTGGGATATTTGCCCTTTCTTCAAGGCAAAACTATTCCAGCTCCTTCAAGTTGGATGGGTTCCGCTGGTGTACAGCAATCTTTAAGTCATACCACAGATTCTCAATTGGATTGAGGTCTGGGCTTTGACTAGGCCATTCCAAGACATTTAAATGTTTCCCCTTAAACCACTCGAGTGTTGCTTTAGCAGTATGCTTAGGGTCATTGTCCTGCTGGAAGGTGAACCTCCGTCCCAGTCTCAAATCTCTGGAAGACTGAAACAGGTTTCCCTCAAGAATGTCCCTGTATTTAGCGTCATCCATTATTTCTTCAATTCTGACTAGTTTCCCAGTCCCTGCCGATGAAAAACAGTCTCCCACATGCCTTTTGGCGAACACCAAACATGTTTGCTTATTTTTTTCTTTAAGCAATGGCTATTTTCTGGCCACTCTTCCGTAAAGCCCAGCTCTGTGGAGTGTACGGCTTAAAGTTGTCATGCCCTGACCTATAGAACTCTAGTTAGTTTGGTCAGGGTGTGAATATCATGTGTGTGTTGATTCTATGTTTGTATTTCTATGTTTGGCCGGGTGTGGTTCCCAATCAGAGGCAGCTGTCGCTCGTTGTCTCTGATTGGGGATCATACTTAGGCAGCCAGTTTTCCTGCCTGTGTGGTGGGATCTTGTTTTGTGCTCGGTGAGTTTGGCTTGTGTGTATGGTCTTCCGACGTCACGTTTCGTTGCCTGTTGTTGTTTTGTTGTTTATTCGGTTTAATAAACATGGATGCATTTCACACTGCGCCTTGGTCTGACCCGTCCTTCAACGAGTGTGACAAAAGTGGTCCTATGGACAGATACTCCAATCTCCGCTGTGGAGCTTTGCAGCTCCTTCAGGGTTATCTTTGGTCTCTTTGTTGCCTCTCTGATTAATGCACTCCTTGCCTGGTCCGTGAGTTTTGGTGGGCGGCCCTCTCTTGGCAGGTTTGTTGTGGTGCCATATTCTTTCAATTTTTTAATAATGGATTTAAAGGTGTTCCGTGGGATGTTTTTTGTATAACCCAACCCTGATCTGTACTTCTCCACAACTTTGTCCCTGACCTGTTTGGAGAGCTCCTTGGTCTTCATGGTGCTGCTTGCTTGGTGGTGCCCCTTTCTTAGTGGTGTTGCAGACTCTGGGGCCTTTCAGAACAGGTGTATATATACTGAGATCATGTGGCACTTAGATTGCACACAGGTGGACTTTATTTAACTAATTATGTGACTTCTGAAGGTAATTGGTTGCACCAGATCTTATTTAGGGCCTTCATAGCAAAGGGGGTGAATACATATGCACACACCACTTTTCTGTTTGGACTAGTTTGTGAATGTCCATTACATGAAATCCAAATAAAAATCAATTTCAATTACAGGTTGTAATGCAACAAAATAGGAAAAACATCAAGGGGGATGAATACTTTTTCAAGCCCACTGTATATACACACACACACACACACACACACACACACTAGTTACTCCCCTCCCCCCCTCTGCTGTACAAACTGTATTGCGCTTGACTGTGACCTTCAGGAGTAAATACATGGGGAGGGGATCATCCACAGTGGTCTCTAGCATTCCCACCCTGCAGCGTTTGCTTGCAGGACCCCCCCCCCCCCCCCCCCCATATATATCTTACATCGCAAGACTTGCGTCTCTCATGATTGCACTTACTGACGGCCAGACAGACAGCAGAGCTGAGGCTTTCACTCTTCTCTCATCTCACTCTCCTCCTCTCTTTTCTCCTCTCCTCTCCTCCCTCTATCTCTCTCTCTCTCTCCTCTCTCTCTCTCCTCTCTCTCTCCTCTCGCCTCTCTCGTCTCTCTCTCTCTCCTCTCCTCTCTTCCCCCTTCTCTCCCTCTCTCCTCTCTCTCTCTCTTCTCTCGCTTCTCTCTCCTCATCTCTCCTCTCCTCCTCGACTCCATCCTCCTCTCCCTCTCTCTCTCCTCCCTCTCTCTCTCTCGGCATCTCCTCGTCTCTCCTCCCTATCTCCTCTCCGTCCTCCCTCCTCTCTGTGCCTCGGGTCTTTTATGGTGCTCTGCCTCTACTTCTCTCGGCTTCGTTCTCCATCGGTCTCTCAGGCTCATCATCTCACGTCTTTTCTCTCAGGTATCACTTCTCCTCTCTGTCTTCTCTCTTCAATCTCTCCTCTCTCTCTCTTCAACTCCTCCTCTCTCGGTCTCTTACCTTCCCTCCTCCTCTTCCTCCTCTCTTCAGTCCTCTGGCGCTGTCGTCCTCAGGTCTGCTCTCGGTTCAGCTCCGGCTCTCTCCTCTCTCTCCTCTCTCTCTCTCTCTCGTTCCGTCCGTCGTCTCTCTCTCTCTCCTTCCGTCGGGCTCGCTGGCCCTCTCGGGCTCCTCCTTACATCTCTCTCTCTCCTCTCTCCTCCTCCTCTCTCATCTGCTCTCTCTCTCTCGTCTCCTTTCGCTCTCTCTCTCTCTCTCTCCTCTCTCTCTCTCTCTCTCCTCCTCTCTCCTCTCTCCTCTCTCTACCACCTCAGGTGAAGACCTGAAGACCCAGTTAGGGACATGCCCGGGTCTCTTTTTTGATCAGGACACAAATAGTCCCCCCTTTGACCTCCTCTCCCACCCCGCATACAGGGAATGTCCTCTGGAATTGTCCCCACAGTCCCCGCATATTGCCAGTTTATTTTTTATCTTCAACTTTTGTTATAGATATACTAGACATACCATGTTTAGACTAGAGAGCTGATGGTGCTTAGTGGGGAGCCACAGTTCTATACTATATCATTGAGAGGTTTGCGGTCTCAACTCCACATACATTTTAGATAGCCATATGGGTCGTTCCACCAATTCAGCGCCTTTTGAGAATTTATCCAAAAAAACTTTGAATACACCTAATTTTAACATTCTGTCGTAAAGAGCACATGTTCAACTTCATGAAAAATACATGTTCCCATCTCAAGAGGTTAAATAATAAAAGGTCTATAGTTAGTGCATATTAAAGACATGGTCTGGTACTTTGGTGACTTAGAAAGTATTTTAAAAACCTCCCGCTTTGGGCTGGATGTGTCACTGCGTTGTTCATACATGCATAATCTATGAGCAGCGACTGTTTTCTTGAAGCTGTGCCGCGCCATTTTCCAATTTTAGTCATTTAGCAGACACTCTTATCCAGAGCAACTAGGATACTAGTGCCTTGCTCAAGGGCACATCGACACATTTTTCACTTAGTCGGCTCAGAGATTCAAACCAGCGACCTTTTCGTTTACTGGCCCAACGCTCTTAACCGCTAGGCTACCTGCCACACATTCACAACAATTCCCTCCACGTGGGCCAGCCTCCTAGCAATTACAGTTCTAGCCAATGAGCTTCAGTCCCTCGCCTGCCCAGCGTTATCCAATAAGGTTGCAGGGCAGTCCCAATGGCTCAGTGGGCACAGCAGAGAGAGAGAGAGCGCAATGACATGGTGCACATATCTGCACATGTGCGACGTAGTACACAATTTTGAGCAATGACATGGTGCACATATCTGCACATATGTGACATAGTATGCCATTTTTGGGACCACTTTTGGCTCATGAGTGCTACTTTCAGAACTACTAGATAAAAGGTATACAAAAGTACCGGATAATCTCTTTAAGTGCCAAATAAAGTAACAGGGTTGACTGTAACAGGGTTGATGATTTCTTAAATCAGCCATAAATCCCCTTGTGACAGCGGAAATGGAAGCTTGCTGTGTGTAACAGGGACTGGCAATTGAATGGAAGAAAATATTTAATTGTAAAAAAAAAATGGGTAACAGGGTTGAGGTGTTATGCTTGAACAGCTCAGTTTTCCACCACAAAACACCAGAACATTGCCTAAAAGAGCAGAACCAGCTCACATGCTTTTGATTTTACTATCAAATGTAAAAAAAATATATATATATGAATATTCTCCCCCTATTAAAATGAGAGTTCAGTTCACGTAACAGGGTTTACCTTAAAACGAGGGACATACTTAAATGATTCACTAATCACATGAAATAAACAATAATCTTCAGAAATTACTTTGTCAAAGCAACAAAATAACTAGGGCTTTACAATGATGGTGTAATTTGGAGACATTTTGGGATTAAGTGGGTTAAAGTCTTCCTAGAAGTGACACATGGTTGACAGAGGGACATGTCAAAATGCTGAATATTGGCACTTTAGTAAGCCTTTATTCATATTAAAAATCGTATTTATTGGTCGACTGTATATTAAAGAGCACTTCATTTAATATAACAGGCTTTTAAAATTCAATATTGGTGCACAATTTCTACTTAAAATATCAAAAGGACACAAAAGGATCTAATTTCGTGGAAGACCCACATAAAATAAAATTGTTTTTAATGAATATTCTATTTTCCAGATGTGAGTCTTGGAGACGCATTGGAGAGAGAGTGACGTGAAACTAAACATTCCACTTATCCCACTCTAGAAATAGATATTGAATTACTATACATTTTACACTCCTTACTGTGACCATTCAATGAATTTTCCTTAGAAATCAAGGCCAATTTAGTCAAATCCTATAGTATAATTTATGTGGAAAAACTATATCACACTTGTATACTAGAAAATGCAATGATAGTACATAACATCAAAACCTCTGAAAGCATCCAAGTCTTATACTGGTTATGATAATGTTACCTGCTAATTTCACAAACACATCAAAGGTGATGCAGATTATTCAACAAGTGGAACATCAGCTCAACCTTAATCTCTCGTGGACTAATTACGCAATATTTTAGTTCTGGACAGAACCCGGGTTAACCGAGATTAGCTCATCTCTGATCCCATAGTACCACCCGGGGTCCCCATACCACCAAATCCTCTACAGCTGGTACAAAGGCCTGCAGGAATATGATAGCACAAACTAGCTGTGTCTAACGTGACTTCTCCTATTGAGTTTCCAGTTTCCACATCATGCTAACAGTGAACCCTAACATCCATGGGAACAACTCTCTTCTCAGGGGACTTGGTCCCTGGCCAAACTCTTCTTCTCAGCCTTCTCAGATACTTGTCTCACCACTAATACTAGGCTAGTGTAGATTATGACTATGAGAAAGGGAAGGGCTGTGATGGTGAGAGAAAAATAGTAAATTATAACTACCGGAAGGGTGCGATGGTGAGAGATCACACCGTAGTACACATTTTTTCAATCTCTGGCTAAACAGGCATTCAATGTGACTTGTTTCAAGGAAACCCATGCGTAATAATAGGAAATGTTGATACCAAATGTGTCACTATCCTGGGGGTGATGTAATACATTTATTTTTTGTCATTTTGTAATAATCCTAGACCTCGTGGCGATACAGTCAGTATATGATATCAGCTCTCTCTTTGTGGTCATGAGAAGAAAGAAACGGCCCAACATCAGTTAGTGTAGTTGTGCAATCCCGACCGTTAGAGTGAAGAGAGTGGAAGCTTGAGGCAGCCAAGATAATATGTTTTTCTCTGTATGGTTTCCTATCATAAGTGACATTGGCCATGTCACAGTGATGCTTGAATAGTGGTGGTTATGCCTTAAGTGTTAGTATCCCTTTTTTTCTCACTATTGCCACAGTTCTAACCTGTCATTCAATCCCTCATTTCACACACTAGGATACTCCACATAACTCAGTTTCACCAAACAAAGTGATATGATAAGATTTAACTGAAAAATGACTATCAAAAATGGGATCATTAGTAACGTATTGAATCGCATTGGGTTAAAGAGAGATGGCCAACTCATGGAACCAAGAGTCTGAAGATTACACAGTGAAATTGATTGGAATGCCTGGACAATCTATTTAATAAATCTGTTATTCTCCTTCTGTTCATTCTGCAGGCAGATATTATGTTAGACTGAATGAGCGAGAGAGAGAGAGAGAGAGAGAGAGAGAGAGAGAGAGAGAGAGAGAGTGAGAGTGAGAGTGAGAGAGGGGGGGGGGGGGGGGGTGAAGTTAGCCGACGGTGCTCTTTCCTGCTGAATCATAGTGTGGGATGATTCTATAATTTATTTTCATTCACTGTTGTTTATTTATATGTCCGTCTCTAAGGGGACAACCGGAAATGGGGTAGTTAGAGAAAGATAAGGAAAAGAGAGAGGAAGGAGGAAAGAGGCAGTCAGGCAGCCAGATCAGAGCAGTTCCTCACACCACCGCAAACTGATTCTGATCATAGATTATCAGATTATATTTATAAGCAGCACAAACACCTCATCGCTCTTGGGTGTTATAGTTACCACTGTATCCTAGTAGAATGATGCAGCTCTATAGCCACAACCCTCACCTCCAGGGTATTGATATCATTCACATGATAATGTTTCTGTAGGTGTAGGAAACTAGGTCATTAGTGTTTTAATCTAAACCTGAGTCACAAATGAGCATATTTTAGCAGTGGGCCTCTCTGGCTTTGTCCGAAATGGTACTCTGTTCCCTATGTAGTAGACTACTCTGGTCAAAAGTAGTGCACTATGTAGGGAATAGGGTGCCATTTCGGACACAGACTCCATTGTGGATTTAAGTGGACTCTGAAGGACAAGGTGTTGGTGGACATGAGTGTCATCACCTCGTGCTTTGTTTGTCTGAGAATGTAATGTAAACCTGATGACAAGACTACCAGACTAGAGCTCACAGAATGAGGTTAAACTAATAGATACACAAACACACTTCATCATGTATCCCTTTCTCTCTCCAACCATCCCCCTCTCTGCCTCCTCCCAGCACATTCTGTTTCTCTGACTACACACACAACATTCTCCCAACCACCTCACACACACATACACAGAAAATGTGCTGACTCATGTCATGCCATTGTTTCCTATGCGTGCAATTGTATCCTAAGAAATACCATGTGCCTCCACTAGTCCCCTCTATGTAAACCTGCTTTATCTGTGCATCTCCATTAGGTGTGCTTTCACGCACATGCATATATGTGCATGTGCGTGAAAGCGTGTGTGTGTGTTTGTACGTGCATGTGTGTACGTTTGAGAGAGACTGCATCTCAATGTCTTTAAATAGCAGGCCTTAGCGGTCCATTGTGACACATCTGGGCTGTTTCAGACAGAGGGAGGGAGAGGGGCAGAGCGGGGCCAGGGGGGATTGTGGGACGGAAGCTGTTGAACTAACTCTAAGGGCCAACAGAGATGAGCACTTCACACTGACGCTATCCCAGGACACTGGGAGTAACCTAACCCTTGTCTGACCAACACCCAGTAGCAGCTTTTCCAGTGCTTACCCTTTGTCCCTGGGTCCTCCTGACCTCCAAGGAAGGAATCCCACCTGGAACCTACTGCTTCGCTGTCCATCAATATCCAATATCCGTGCCATTGACGGTATTAACTGAAAAATACCATATTTGGAGGAGGATGTGTTTTCTGTGGGGAAGTATTACATTTTACAGATGTTGGAATCTGTAAGTCTGATGAGATCTTTCTCGGGCAAATACGTATCTTTCTTTCATGACTTTTGTACCCTGCACCTGCAAGTAACTGAATGGGCTCTATTTTCCCAAACCTAACACAATGGTAAATCTATGGCCAGGGGTGTGTCAGAAATACTGTATTTTGCTATTTTTACTATCACAATTATCAGCGTATTTGCTGGCATTGGTGCGAAAGGGCTTGATTTTGATGAATAAACAAGTTGTGGGTGTGTCAAGGCTTGGCCCCTCACTGGCCAATCAGAACGTGTTCCATGGCAAAATATGTGGTTGCTTCAAGATGTGTATTTAAGGTTCAATCAACTCCAATTCCAATGTTAGTCTGTTATAGTTTGTTAAATGGCTTACAGAAACAAAATAAACATAAATTCACCTATCTTTACTAAATACATTAACTTGAACCCATTTGCTGTCCACATTGTTCTAAGTAATTGCATGGCTTCAATAGCATTCACACTGATATAGGGGCTAGGCCTACTGTAAATTGCATTATGGCTGAGCATGGTTATGCCAAACATTGTCAATAAGCAAGATTAAATTAATTATTGATAAGGCCTAAAAAGTGAACGAATAATTCGAATCAAATTCTAAACACAACAACAACTTATTTTAAATAGGCTATGTCACACTTACAGGCACCATCATTTCTCAATGTGGGCATATAATATTAAAACAAGGCAGACTATGGATGGTTTTACGCACATCCAAACCTTTCACAGTAGCCAGACAAAGATCCAATATAAATAGAAAGGGAGAATGCCCACTCACTGTTATACTGCTCCCAAATAGGCCTATGTTTTATGAACATAATCGGAAGCCTTTTACAGATCAGATCGCATTCACACATCTCCAGAAAACCACGTCACCATAAAACCAGGAAGGTGAATCATTCTAATGTTAGGCTGTAATAAAACAAGCAGGAAAAAAAGTAATGATATCATCAAATCGCCAGGATAAAAAAGACACGAACTGCTGTTGAACCAGCCTTTGTTATAGTAGGCCTAAGGTAGGTATTGGGTTTTGAACACATGAAACGGAAAACAAGCAATTTTTACAGGTTACAGACATGGCTTCTGAATACAAGGTTCAATGGTATTCACCGAGGTTCAATGGTATATCTCTCGTTTCATGATGGGCATGGGCACGTAGCCTACATCATGGAGGGGGTTTTACGCACGTCCAAAACGGGACCTGCATGGCTAAAATAATGTGGACCTGCCTACAATGCATGGGATAAGAAGGGAATGCCAGCTCACTGTTTTAGCTGATATAAGACAGGTAAATTGCCGAACCTTTCCTTAGGGGTGGAAAACATTACGAAATTGCAAACTAACGTTCGTTTGACAGTAGCGCTGCCTTATGCTGCAGCATCATCTAGATATGTGGGCAACAAAAGTTAAACATTCACCTTCTGCTACCGTTTCTGTCAATCCGTCTACACATACAGTTTGATGCATACGTTCGATAAATCCAACGTATGCACCACACAGAACGCACTGCAACTGCCTCTGCAACGCAATGCTGCAAAGCAAATGCAGCGTTCCATTGGAAATGAATGTACTTCTGCTGTCCCAAAACGAAAAACTCAGTCGAAGCGTTAACGCCAACCGAAAATAGAGCGCAATGTGTGTTAGTGCGTGCACTTTTCCTCATACTTCTTTGCTACAATATGGAATGCATTTTTTTACGTTTTAGTCATGTTTGTTTGTCTTGAAGTCATGATGACATTCGATTACATTTCTTCAAGAATGTTTTAGTAAGATAACACTCAATGTAAGTAGAACACCATATTTTCCCATATCAAGGATACACTGATAACAATGTGTCTCTCCTTTCCTTCAGGTCTCTGAAAATGTAGAACTCTCATTTTGATTTAGCTTAGGTATTTTCCTTAGGCTTTCAAGTGCTTTGATTTTTGACATTAGGAATGAGGTGCTGATTCACTTGTAAAAGTGAAGACAGAGCGCCTACCATATGGTTGTTTACAGTCACTGATAAAACACAGAAATAGAGATGCCGGGTTAGTAATTCACTTAAACTCTCTCCAGACAGTGCAAGTTTTGAGGCCTTAAGCCTATTTCTGAACATAAATCACTGTGTTAGATAGTTAGTGACGGAGATACAACGTTAGACACTGGTCAGATCTTGACCAGTTGACTGTCTCTCCCAGCTGGGTTGGCTCTGGGCCTCTGCAAAACAGATAGAGTAAATGTAACACTCCCGTGCGGTTGGAACGTCCACCCACACACCCACTAACTCTTGTCAGTCTTTTACAAACATTGGCATATATGGGGCTAGGAGGGTGCGCTAGCTTTTCATTTCAAGCAGTAGTGAGCTACTCCTCTAGCCTGGTCCCAGATCTGTATGTGCTGTTTTGCAAGGCATTGACCATAGCTGTTGGATATGCTGAATAAACAGATCTGCGACCAGGCTAGTACTTCTCAGCACCTCTGGGGCAGTATGATGTCTCTATATCACTGCCAAAAACTGTCCCCTCTGTATACCTACTACTACATAAATACATGGAATAAAGAGTAAGTGGTGTCAGTGTCATCTTGATACACATCTACTGTCCTACAAAAGTACATTGACTGGTTTACAAGGAGCTATGGGATTGTTTCTAGATTGAGACAAAATAGGAGTTTTGAAATACTCACATGCCGTGAGGTCAATCAATGAACTGAGTTGAAGCTCTGTGTATCAGAACTTTGTCCATTGAAGCACACAGCACGTAATACCATTACATTGTTTGACATCAATGTTTTACTAAGGGTGGGCAAACATTTCTATTGGGCATCATCCCTTGACAATAAGATACATTAAGATGGGAATGTTCATCTCACACAAACAGTTAACTTTTTCATTCTGCTAAACTTGCTTTCACCCAAGACCTCTCCACCATTATCCAGAGAGAGGTGTGAGTGTGTGTGTGCATGCGTGATTGTGTGTGTGTGTATACATATACACTACTGTTCAAAAGTTTGGGGTCACTTAGAAATGTCTTTGTTTTAGAAAGAAAAGCAAATGTATTGTCCATTAAAATTACATAAAATTCACTGTTGACGTTGAGACTGGTGTTTTGCGGGTAATATTTAATGAAGCTGCCAGTTGAGGACCTGTGAGGCGCCTGTTTCTCAAACTAGACATTCTAATGTATTTGTCCTCTTGCTCAGTTGTGCACCGGGGCCTCCCACTCCTCTTTCTATTCTGGTTAGAGACAGTTTGCGCTGTTCTGTGAAGGTAGTAGTACACAGCATTGTATGAGATTTTCAGTTTCTTGGCAATTTCTCGCATAGAATAGCCTTCATTTCTCAGAACAAGAATAGACTGACGAGTTTCAGAAGAAAGTTATTTGTTTCTGGCCATTTTGAGCCTGTAATCCCACAATTGCCGATACTCCAGATACTCAACTAGTCTCAAGAAGGCCAGTTTTATTGCTTCTTTAATCAGCACAACAGTTTTCAGCTGTGCTAACATACTAGCAAAATAGTTTTCTAATGATCAATTAGCCTTTTAAAATGACAAACTTGGATTAGCAAACAAAACGTGCCATTGGAACACAGGATTTATGGTTGCTGATAATGGGCCTCTGTACGCCTATGTAGATATTCTATTAAAAATCAGCCATTTCCAGCTATAATAACCATTTACAACATTAACAAAGTCTACACTGTATTTCTGATCAATTTGATGTTATTTTAATGGACAAAAAAATTGCTTTTCTTTCGAAAACAAGGAAATGTCTAAGTGACCCCAAACTTTTGAACAGTAGTGTATATGTCTGCTGACATGTGTTATCTAGGTTATGTGAGCCTGTAGAGCTGCTCTACTAGCCTACTGAGTGTGTTAAGTGTCTGTCTGTCTCATGCTGTGAGTGTGACGTCCACCCAACACACACCCTGTATTCAGCCTCCAGGGCTAAAACACTATGCTTGTGTATTCTATCTTATAGGCCTAATGACTGACTGTTGAGTGCAGCAGTGTGTATATCTTATGAGCCTAATCTGGACCACAAAGACCCTTACACTGTATAATTTATAGAATATGTCTTTCACTATGCAGAATTCAGTCTCTCACTCAGGGTGAAACAGCATTGACTGCCAGTTTCTGTACAGCAGGTCTCCGTGCTGTAGTGTGCTACAGGTTGTTTTAGTTAGAGGGAAAGTTCAAGACAAGTCTTCATACTTACAGAGAGAGTTTGGGCTGGATTCTCCAAAGTACTCCTGCTGAATGGAGAATCTCCATTGAAAGTGCTTTTCAGTCCAGGAAATGGAGTATAGTCTGTGTCCAGGAATCAGGCTCCTACAGTTTTGTTTTGACTCCTCACTGCTCTTCACACTTAAAAGAGGCTCTCTGAATTCCGATCATTGTAATCATCGCAACACCCATGGCTTTATTACCCTGTTATCTGTATCTGCACCTGTAAAATGGAGTAGAATCCATCCCTACGGAGGTTGGAACAACCTGACACTCCCACACTCCCAGTTCTATGAGTCATGTCAAACATAAGATAGAGGATAGCCCCAGATCATGTCTGTGCCCCAAATGGCACCCTAATCCCTACATTGTGCATTACTTTTGACCAGAGGCCTATGAGCTCCCAGCTGAATGAGTCATGTCAAACAGAGGATAGGGGATAGCCCCAGATCCTATCTCTCCTCTCCAGCAGACCTACGTCCCACAGGCACTGCGCTGCGGCTGGGGCATACCCACTCGTCCACACTTTCACACATGCAGTGTGATGGGGTGAGTCACTCATGGGGCAGACCACACTGTATGCTATGGCTAGTATCCAGCGGGAGGGAGAGGGACCCCCACTCTTGGAACCAACAATGTTTGTGTACCTCATTGCCCAGACAACGCTGCAGCAGGATGAATGACTGACTGACTGGAAGGAGACACCTCAGTATTTATTCAGTTTGGAGCACATCCAACATACCTTACTGTATACAGTATACTGTACATGGTACATCCACCCTGACCCCCTCTCAGATTCAACATGAGATAAATTATGAAGTGGATTAAAGGTGGATTAAAGTTTAAAGGCAAACAATATACCGTACCAGTCAAAGGTTTGGACACACCTACTCATTCAAGGGTTTTTCTTTATTTTTACTATTTTGTACATTGCAGAATAATAGTGAAGACATCAAAACTATGAAATAACACATATGGAATCATGTAGTATCCAAAAAAAGTGTTAAACAGATCAAAATATATTTCATATTTTTGATTCTTCAAATTAGCCACCCTTTGCTTTGATGACATCTTTGCACACTCTTGGCATTCAACCAGCTTCACCTGGAGTGCTTTTCCAACAGCCTTGAAGGAGTTCCCACATACGCTGAGCACATGTTGACTGCTTTTCCTTCACTCTGCGGTCCAACTCATCCCAAACCATCTCAATTGGGTTGAGGTTAGGTGATTGTGGAGGCCAGGTCATCTGATGCAGCACTCCATCACTCTCCTACTTGGTCAAATAGCCAACACCTGTTGTATTCAATTGGGTTGAGGCCGGGTGATTGTGGAGGCCAGGTCATCTGATGCAGCACTCTCCTTCTTGGTCAAATAGCCCTTACACAGCCTGGAGGTGTGTTGGGTCATTGTCCTGTTGAAAAACAAATGATAGTCCCACTAAGCGCAAACCAGATGGGACTGTGTATCGCTGCAGAATGCTGTGGTAGCCATGCTGGTTAAGTGTGCCTTGAATTCTAAATAAATCACCAACAGTGTCACCAGCAAAGCACCCGCACACCATCACACCTCCTCCTCCATGCTTCACAGTGGAAACTACATATGCGGAAATCATCCGTTCACCTACTCTGTGTCTCACAAAGACACGTCAGTTGGAACCAAAAATCTCAAATTTGGACTCATCAGACCAAAGGACAGATTTCCACCAGTCTAATGTCCACTGCTCGTGTTTCTTGGCCCAAACAATTCTCTTCTTCTTATTGGTGTCCTTTAGTAGTGGTTTCTTTGCAGCAATTCGACCATGAAGGCCAGCTTCACGCAGTCTCCTCTGAACAGTTGATGTTGAGATGTGTCTGTTACTTGAACTCTGTGAAGCATTTATTTGGGCTGCAATTTCTGAGGCTGGTAACTCTAATGAACTTATCCTCTGCAGCAGAGGTAACTCTGGGTCTTCCTTTCCTGTGGCGGTCCTCATGAGAGCCAGTTTCATCATAGCGCTTGAGGATTTTTGCGACTGCGCTTAAAGAAACTTTCAAAGTTCTTGACATTTTCCGGATTGACTGACCATCATGTCTTAAAGATGGACTGTTGTTTATCTTTGCTTATTTGAGCTGTTCTTGCCATAATATGGACTTGGTATTTTACCAAATAGGGCTATCTTCTGTATACCACCCCTACCTTGTCACAACACAACCGATTTGCTCAAACGCATTAAGGAAATAAATTCCACAAATTAACTTTTAACAAGGCACACCAGTTAATTGAAATGCATTCCAGGTGACTACCTCATGAAGCTGGTTGAGAGAATGCCAAGAGTGTGCAAAGTTGTCATCAAGGCAAAGGGTGGCTACTTTGAAGAATCTCAAATATAAAATATATTTTTATTTGTTTAACACTGTTTTGGTTACTACATGATTCCATATGTGTTCATGATTCCAAATGTGTTATTTATAGTTTTGATGTCTTCACTATTATTCTACAATGTAGAAAACAGTAAAAATAAAGAAAAACCCTTGAATGAGTAGGTGTGTCCAAACATTTGATTGGTACTGTAGCTAAGAACATAATTGACATTTAAAAAAATCTGTGTTCATATTTGGATTTGATTTTATTCTACACAATATATCACAGATCAATATTGAGTGGAAGTCATCAATTTAAATTCAACTATATAAATGTAAATACTATTTCCACAATATTTCAATCATAAGTCTAAAGAATTATATCCAGAGAGATGAATAAATTCCATGAATAAAGCTCATTATGTGTTGTTCATGGTATCCAGGATAAACAAACAATTACTTATTTTAAAGTACACAGAGTGAGTAACTTAAAAGCGGCTTTCCTAGCTGGCTCCCTGACGTAGCGACGCACCGATGGGCGTTGTTCTTCCATAATGAGATACTTTATAAGTGCAGTGCTGCCACTGACGTCAATCTAGCCAGAAGGACTTGTGACCCGTGGACTACAGTTTTTGGACTCTTTGGGGAAACGTGCTTTTTACGATTTTCGGCTGAAAACCGTTTTTTTTTTTTTTATATAGTCACTCCGCAGTCGCACTAAGTAAGTTGACTTTGCTTCCAATTGTGGTCAATTTATTCGCTAGATTAATGCGTTGAAATATGTGTCACGCACGGAACACCAAAACCAATCGGGCTTTCAGGGGAGCGGCTTGGTTTCTTTTTCTAGTAGCTATAACTTCCATAAAAACCTGGTTGACGGATGATTGTCTTCATTTTACTTCTCGACTATTAGTGTGTCGACATACAATAGTCTTTTCCATTCTATTATGTGTGATATTTTTGCTAGATAGTTGAAGTAGAATTCTGTTTATTTATAATTCATGCGCACTTATTGAGAATATGCACGCAACCAATACAAACAAACTGGCATGATTCATTTATGAAGTGTCCTACACACATGCTGTTGATAATGGACACTGGTCTCTGTGTGGTTTAGTAGAACATGTTTTAGTTCCAACTGGATCTGCAGTGTTGTGTGAAAGTTGGTCTGTTCTAATCTAGATTGATTTGTTTATTATGCTACATGTATGGAGAAAACAACATATTGGCATGCCTTTTTAATGTTTTTTTCTCATACAAGGATGCAGGGAAACATACTAAGTGTGTGATTAATGATTTAGTAATGACAGACTACACACACAATATTTTAGGTAGTATGCACTTGTTCATTTAAAGTGGACAAACATAAGTGTCTATTCAATTTTCAACATGAAAAATGATATCTTCAGCTTATTAAAAGTTGAATATGAGCTGGACATAAACACTTTCTCTTTTAGAACACTACTGATAGACATTTCTTGGTGCAGATCAAGTTTCAGAGTAGGCGCGGTTCTGTTCTGAGTTGAGAGCGGGGTACTGCAAATCCTGCAATGACACACCCATGTCCCAGTCCCATAGAACTGGAGAGAGACTGAGACCTTCACAAACTAAAGGTGTCCCTTTCTTTTATCATTTAGCTCCTTCTGACAAGATGCTGCTCCTTCTACTGGGAATTGTCATCCTGCATGTCGCAGCCCTAGTCCTCCTGTTTGTGTCAACAATTGTCAGCGTAAGTAAACCATCTGTATCAATGAATTATCTGATCATCAATAATCCATTATTGCTTATCTCATTTACAATAATCATTCCAAACATACTTTTTTTTATACATTAACCAATAGCCTATTGTATTTGAAAATCAATAGTTTGTTTTAATTCATTGACATCTCTGCTATCTGTAAAGGTGTTTTCTATCAGGTTTCAGTGTTCTCTTGTTAGTAGCAGCACTGTGTTGTTTATCCTCTAGGCCTGGGCAACCGGGTCCACAAGCAGCTCAGACCTCTGGAATAACTGCTCTACAACCAATGGAGGATACCACTGTGAGCCGGCCAACACTGGAGGTAAGATACAGTACAGACTGACTTTGTACATCTGCCGCTGTGGCTTGTTTTTTTTTTCAGCAAGTCACAGTCGTTCTGTCTCATTCTGCATGATGATGATGCTGATGAAGCCTCCTCTTGTCCAATAGTAAACTTATTTTGAAAGGATATACTGTAGATATGTATTTCTAGACTCTGTAAATTGGGTAGTCTGATATTTGACATCAAGCTGGGTGTTGATTCTTCTGGGGTGTGTCTTGAGAATAAGTTCAGCACTGTTGGTTGACCGAAAGATCGTAGACAGTAAGACATGGAAAGACCAGAACTGTGATTAACTATAACTGTCTTAAACCCTGAAAGCCCACCCACTCACTCTCTAGTTTACCTGTGCTGCTGAAGGGCGTGTCAGGCGCCACTGTGACTCTACTGCCATCTAGGGGTGAGGATGTGAACCTACAGCTTAGAGTTCCCACTGTTCATAGGCTCTCCTCTGTATAAATAGTCATGGTGTGATGTCCATATTCAAGCCCCATGTTTGGGAGGCCGTAGTGGTGGGATGAAGGTTTAGGGTGGCGTAGGTGTAGGGTGGGGCTTTGTAGGGTATTTCAAGTGTTCGATCTGGGGAGGTGTGTGTGCAGCAGACATGGTGGCCTTGGACCACCCCATGTAGAACATAGTGTGCTGACAGCCCTGGTCACGCCCATGTATCAGATTGTGTGTACAGCGAGATCATTAACTAAACGAGAGACCTAGCAGCTGTGTGTGTGTTTGTGTCTATGAGACAGATTTATACCAAAGCCAACAGTGGTTGGAGGGAAAGACTGCAACAAGATTGCAACAATACCATATTAAACGAGAAAAGTTATAAATGTACCCTACATGACCAAAAGTATGTGGACACCTGCTCGTCGAACATCTCATTCCAAAATCATGGTCATTAATATTGGTTCCATTCAGCCACGAGCATTGGTGGGGTCAGGCACTGATATTGGGCGATTAGGTCTGGCTCGCAGTCGGCGTTCCAATTCATCCCAAAGGTGTTCGATGGGGTTGAGGTCAGGGCTCTGAGCAGGCCAGTCAAGGTCTTCCACACCGATCTCGACAAATCATTTCTGTATGGACTTCGCTTTGTGCATGGGGGCATTGTCATCCTGAAACAGGAAAGGGCCTTCCCCAAACTGTTGATACAAAGTTGGAAGCACATAATCATCTAGAAAGTCATTGTATGCTGTAGCTTTAAGATTTCCCTTCACTGGAACTAAGGGGCCTAGCCCGAACCATGAAAAACAGCCCCAGACCATTATTCCTCCTCCACCAAACTTTACAGTTGGCACAATGCATTTGGGCAGGTAGCGTTCTCCTGGCATCCACCAAACCCAGATTTGTCCATCGGACTGCCAGATGGTGAAGCGTGATTCATCACTCCAGAGAACACGTTTCCACTGCTCCAGAGTCCAATGGTGGCGAGCTTTACACCACTCCAGCCGATGCTTGGCATTGCGCATGGTGATCTTAGGCTTGTGTGCGGCTGCTCGGCTATGGAAACTCCCTGACGTTGCTTCCAGAGGCAGTTGCTTCCAGAGGCAGTTGCTTCCAGAGGCAGTTGCTTCCAGAGGCAGTTGCTTCCAGAGGCAGTTTGGAACTCGGTAGTGAGTGTTGCAAGCGAGGACAGACAATTCTTACGCGCTACGCGCTTCAGCACTCGCCGGTCCCATTCTTTGAGCTTGTGTGGGCTACCACTTCGCTGCTGTGCCGTTGTTGCTCCTAGACGTTTCCACTTCATATTAACAACACTTACAGTTGACCGGGGCTGCTCTAGCAGGGCAGAAATTTGACAAACTGGCATTTTGGAAAGGTGGCATCCTATGACAGTGCCACGTTGAAAGTCACTGAGCTCTTCAGTAAGGCCATTCTACTGCCAAAGTTTGACTATGGCGATTGCATGGCTGTGTGCTTGATTTTATACACCTGTCAGCAACGGGTGTGGCTGAAATAGCCGAATCCACTAATTTGAAGGTGTGTCCACATACTTTTGTTTATATATACTGTATTTGCAGTAGAATATCTTACCATTTCCGGAAACATGATTCTAGAGGCACTGTAATACTATAGAACTTGTGTTCAATAGCTTAATGTATTGCCTTAGAGACCCAGTACTACAGTACTAACTGCAGTAGCCTCGAGCCCAACAGTCCGTAGCTAGCTGCCTGGTGATGTCATGTGTCTAGAATGTGCAGGTGGGTCTTGGGCCCCGGTGTGTGTTGTCAATGAGACAGGCAGCAGAGCCAACAGCGGGCCCAAGTTCTCTCTCTTTCTCTTTCTCTCTCTCTCTCTCTCTGCCAGGTGGATTCATGGAACAGCCTGTTTGTTTGATTTGCTGTGCACTGTGTTTGTATAGGGAGGCACGTGTGTGTGTGTGTGTTAGTGTGTGTGTTCTGTTACGAGGGATCGAGGGGAAGATAGTGGAATCTGTACTCAAGTGCACGGGCGCAGCCTGGCCCAGTCAATCAGTAGTGCTCAAAGGCCCCTGGAGTGCTTTGCAGCGCAATCAGTACATCTGGCATGCCTGGACTGGGAGAGCTAAACATGAGGACAGAGTATACTGAGTATACATGAGGCTCAGTATACTGAGAGGGCGGGATGGTGGTGGAGGCACGACCGACGGTCACACCCACTGGGTGGCCTTTTTATTTTTAATCTTGCTATTAGGACTTAAGTTATGTAGTTACGCATAGTTTATATTGGGGATTGGTTTATGTTTTGTCAATGTTGTTCACACTTGACCTGACTTTGCCCCTGAAATGGGAATCCAGTCTTAGTTTGTATCACAAATTAGAGTTAAGCAAAGTCCACACCAGGGATGCTCCTTACTGTATGTTACAGTTATTACATGTCATGGAAACACAACAGCTGGGATGATCTCTACTGTAGCCACAAGCTAGCCGTACCTTCAGGCTCTGATCAGTCCCTACACCCAAACGAGGGCATTGCGTTCATACACCTCTGGCCTGCTGGCTCCCCCTCCTCTGCGGAAGCATAGTTCCCGCTCAGCCCAGTCAAAACTGTTCGCTGCTCTGGCACACCAATGGTGGAACAAGCTCCCTCACGACGCCAGGACAGCGGAGTCACTCACCACCTTCCGGAGACATTTGAAACCCCACCTCTTTAAGGAATACCTGGGATAGGATAAAGTAATCCTTCTACCCCCCCAATCCGAATGCATTGTACAGCCAAGTTATCGTTACTTATTGTGTATTTATTAGGGCTGTCCCCGACCCCCAACAAATCTTGGTCAACCGAGAGTCGTCTGTTCTTTCGACTAATCGATTGGCCAAATTTTTCAACGTGTATCTTTTTTCCATATATTGACACATCCTATGTGTTTTAATCAAATCAATTATATTCACTGAGCTTGTCTGATGCGTTAAGCACACTGTTTAATTAAATAATTAAGACACATATGACTAGAGGGACTCCGACCAGCATTTTATTTGATTGTGCTAGGCCGGGCTCAGACTTGCTGCACTGTGTTAAAAAAAAAAAAGACAGCGTGTGACTCCCTGCTGCAGCGACCACCACAGAACATCAAAGTGTTTATCGCACTGTCCATGTTGCTGAAGCTGCAACATAAGTACAGCCATTGATGACTGAAAAGTTCTGTCATTATGGGGTATTGTGTGTAGATTGATGAGGGGGGAAAAAAAATACGATTTAATCAATTCGGCTGTAACGTAACAAAATGTGGAAAAAGTCAGTCTGAATACTTTCCGAAGGCACTGTATATTGCAGAACAACAAAGGATAATGTAACATCATATCATGTTCAGGCCTATACATTCCAGTATTATCGTTATGAGAGCTGTTTTGTATTGGTTTTGTGTAACACTTTCGTGGATATAAATAGTGTTTGTCGTATTGCTGTACAGTGGATGGGTTCAATAATAGTGTTGTTTGCTATTTCTTCTGTCATATATCCTATCTAGTGTGCTCTGCTCTGGGGTGAGTGCAGCATGGGGACAGACAGAATTGTCTTTCTGGGTAACCTGACTCTTTGATGGCCTCATCGAATCCATCAAACCCTGTTGTCATTTCCCCAAACCTCTCATGAGAAGATGCATTAGTTTCCTGGAAAACTACGGGTGCATCATGGGAGATTTATAAACAATCTACAAAGGGATGTCAACCGACGAAACGTATGAATTAGTAATGTGTTTGCGGACTGAGTACTTTTGCTGGTGGTGTTTGTGGTCACGCAAGGTCGCCACAAAGCCAACTGTCTCCTTACTTCAACATTATTCACGCATCTACTTCTTAGCCACATTCATTCATTAAGGTTTCTTAACCAGTGATGCTAAGGCAGCCTGAGCAGGGCCTCCAAACCACTGGATTCGTGATTTAATTAAATTCCTGTAAAACAAGCATGCACAGTAAGTTTGGTACCTGACAGATTACTCCAAACTCAAATACTGAGACATGGAGGATGCATGATATGTACTGAGACTGGAACCTTCTCCTCCTACTTGACTATGGTCCAGTGTCTTTTGTATCCTATGGGGGCATGCAGGTCTGTTTTGGATCTGTAGAGGTAAAGCTCCAGCAGAAAACATGTTGCATGGGTAGCGTCAGCCACCAAAAGGGGACTGCACCAGACAGCTAAACATGAGATGAGAGGGAGAGAGATGTGTGAGGAATGGCTTCAGAGAGGGATATAGCTAGGGAGCTGGCTTAGGAAACCTGAGAGTGAATGCAAACTGCATTCATGACCCTCAGACAAGAAATAGACCCGCTTGGAAGTCCAGGCATTCCAGACGTAGATAGCGCTACAAACACAGCACTAACACACACAGAGTGGTGGGGGGATATGTCTCAAAGTCCCTGTCTGTCAATACAGGTTACTATAATGGGTTAACAGGGCTTTCTGTAAGCTGGCCTTGGAACAGTGGTAGGTAGCCGGATGTTCAAAGTGTTAGGGGCCTCTCTGTATTATTGAGTACGCTACAATACTTTCATGAACAGAATACCTATGTAGGTACCATTATTGTAAATCCATTAAAGATTCCAGGCAACTAAAAGACTCATTCCCTGTCTGGCCAGACCAAAACATTTAGCTGATTAACAATTCCAGAGTTCCAGTCTCAAAAAGTGGTTGCTTTAGTGTTGCAACCTCGGCATGATTCGGTTACCATGTTGTATAAAAAGTTAAGTTGATGTATAGAAGTGAGTCTAATGAGTCCATGTCCATGTTCATGTATAGCCAATTCATATCCATGTACTGTATAGCCATGTATAGTCCATGTATCCTGTGTGGTCCTCTGTAGCTCAGTTGGTAGAGCATGTCTCTTGCAACACCAGGATAGTGCGTTCACGACCAACCATATGTAAAAAATGTATGCACACATTACTGTAAGTCACTTTGGATAAAAGCATCTGCTAAATGGTATATATTATTATGTATAATTGACTGACAATCTCCCTCTCTCTTCCCTGCAGAGTGGATCCAGGCAGTGCAGGCCCTGATGATCCTGTCCATCATCTTCAGCTTCATCTCTCTCTTCCTGTTCTTCTGTCAGCTCTTCACCCTGCAGAAGGGAGGACGCTTCTTCGTCACCGGAGTCTTCCAGATCCTCGCCAGTGAGTACCCATTTTGTCATCCAGAAAAACAAAACTGAAACAGAGACATATTCAGAATTTTACACTACACTCTTAGAAGTATAGGTGCCTGGAAGAACCTGAAAAGGTTATTTGAGGAACCCCTATGTAAAGATTCAAACCAGAACCTTTTTGTGATTGGAGGGGTTACATTTTTAACCTTTGTTGTATATTGGAGAGGTGACAGCCTATCAGATAGGAGGTGTGGCTTATTGGAGGCATAGCTTTCAGATCGTTATTTTTGGTCACACATTAATGTCATTCCTGTTCATCATGTTAAGTTTGTACTCTGCAAATTTAAAATGTTCCTTGAATGCATATTACATATTCTAATATGATGTCATTGCTGATTACATATAGTAATAAAGTGCTAACTATTCCAACTTTGGGATTTGCATATGCTCTTGAGGAACTCAAACACCTCTGTTAGCCTCATTGAAACTACCCATGTTCAACCTTAGCATGCAGTGACAACAGAACAGATGAACTGGAATGACATTTACTCTAACGGGTGACCAAAGAAAGATATATTTTACAGCCACGCTCCTACTAAGCCACGCCTTTACTCCAGGGTTCCTCCTAGAACCCATTGCTACAATACGGGTTTATCCTTTGTTTATTGTATTCCATGCCCTTTGGCTATGGATAGACACCTCTTCTAGTCTATTGTGTCAAAGGACTGCCAATGTCAAACCTCCCAGGTTGGCACTGTAGACCATGCCAGTGGGCACAGAGACAATCACACAAGTGGAAATGGCAAGACAGGCAATGTAGGGGGTGAACAACTAAACATCAACAAAGAGACAATGCCATGACATGCCACTTCACAGTGGGCAGGGTTGGGGAACTTGGAATTAGGCCAAGGTTATAGATGAGGAAGCGACAGAGGCCTGTTTATGGTTAAATAGCCACCATCTCCCCCAATGCTGCCCAGCAGGGTTCATAGTAGGACACATAAAAAAAATGCACAGATTGTGATGATGACATGACACACAATAATTTCATCTTCAGGTTCAAATGGAATTAACTGTATTGTAAATTATGTAAACATTTCCTCTCCTCTTCCAGGTCTGTTTGTGATGAGTGGAGCAGTGATCTACACAGTGATGAGTCCGCAGTGGGTGCCTGCAATGGAGGCCTTCGGCTGGGCTTATATCCTGGCCTGGGTGGCCTTCCCTCTGGCCTTGATCAGCGGACTCATCTACGTCATCTTGAGAAAACGGGAATGAGGCCCGTGTCCCCTAACCTCCACCCCTCCCTCAGCATTAACAATCCCCCCTAGGAGACTAAACTCAGAAGCTTGAGGACCGGTATACCTTACTGGGTCACAAGGCTGCTTCACCTAGGTCCGCACCGCAACCTAGGGGTAACACCAAAAACACAACCACCCAAAATGACATGATGAAACAACCAATACTGTCAGATGTATATAGTATCTATGGTTTAAAACCTATTTATAACACGTTTTACATATATGTACATAGTATTGTTGTGTTGCTCCATTGACAAAAATATTCTTATGCGCTTCGTTTTAGCTGATAAAGTGCCTAAATATTTGTTTGTAATTATAAAATAATTAGACGCTGTGTTTGTTTTTCCTCTCTCTGTAAACCACCAAAAAATGAATAAAAAAGTTTTTGAACTATTTTAACCAAAGTGCATGTATAAAATATAGAGCTAGAAAGAATGTATAACTGAGCTTGCTTTACAAAAACTAAAAGTGGTAACATCCAAATTATGGTTGTTAAAGGGATTCTCCGGTACTTTTGTATACTTTTTAGCCATTAGTTTTAAAAGTAGAGCTCAAGATCCAAAAGTGGTCCCGGAAATTGCGTACCATGACACATATATGCAAATATGTGCACCATGTCACTGCTCTCTCTCCATGCTCTGCTGTGTGTGCATCATGTGCCTCTTCTTAGCAGTCACAACTTTGGCGAGGGGCTGAAGCTCATTGGTTGATCTCAAATAGCTAGGGGCTGGCTCACATGGGAGAAATGACAGGAAAAATGGCAAAGCACAGCTTCAAGAAAAAGTTTATTCAAACTAGGGATTTCGTGGCTAATTGAGGTAAGACAGTAATTCTGAAGTACACATTGACACATCCAGCCCAAAGCGGGAGGTTTTAAAAAAGACTTAGTAGTTGCCAATGTTCCGGAGCATGTCTTTAACCATTAAAATGTTGGTTTGGTTATTATTTCTGTTTGTAAAATGACAAGTTTCAAAATTATTTTTTTATTTTCAACAAAGATGGTGCTATGTATTTACCATTCCTATTACTGATAGCCATTTTGCAATCATTTACAGTCAAATGACTTGACTTATGCCATGAAGTAACTAGGACGTCAGGGTGAGAAGTAGACTCCATTGTAATGTTCATGTACCTAACTGCTTATGTGTATAGAGAAGGCTATTCCATTTCATTTTGAGTTGTCTAAATAAAATCTTTGAAACAATCAGTTTTGATTGTTCGGCTACAAGGAGTATTGGTGTTGGAGCGATGTAGCATTCGTTTATTTTGTTGGAATGCCATTTGGAATGTCAGTATTAGAACATCCTGCCATTGTTCCATTTGCATTACTCAAACTGTTTTAGGATGGAGAATGTGAGCTAAATAGCATTAGCAGTGACTAAGTGTGGTCTTTTCTCTCTTTGTTGTAAGGCCATGCCATGTTGATTTGTTGTGTTTGTGTTTATAGCATATGTACGACCAGTAAACACACTAGAACCTGCCTCTTGGACGGAGTACTGTAACAACTAGTAGGGCATTGCAGCCATATCCAAATTGATTTAAGTTTTTATATCTTATAACATTATAGAGATATTTCAATGTTAAAGAAGGTCAAGCTCTGAGGCAGCCTACTCAAACCTGATCAAGGCAGAATAGAGGACATGACTTTTAGTATTAGCTTTGTCATGTGGGAGAAAATGGACAGCGAGGTTTGCATACAAATGTTCTGTTTCACATACTTGAAGTTTGACAAGCTGCAGTCTCTGTGGAAAACATTGTTGATATCATGTTAATAATAATATATCCATGACTATCTAGTGTGCAGACTGATTCAATAAAACAAACCAAAATGAAAACAGCTCCTACCTACGGGGATTTCTATATATTTCAGTACTCATACTGTATGTTGTGTATTCTTCCTCATCACAGGATACAACTAACACTTACCCCATTAGACCAATAAATTGTATAATGTTGAACTCTGTAACTATTTAGCCATTTACAGTGTTAATAGCTATGTTGTTTAAAAGTCTAATGTCTGCCTTGAAGAATTATGGTAAACTACTGAAGAGAGGAAGTGAAAGGTACAGTACATGAAAGAGTGTAAAGTGGAATCCCTGCCAATGTTAACTGTATCTGGTTGGTCTTAAATAACTGTGTGCTATTAAAGAGAATGCAAATTCTGAGCTCTCCCTCTCTCTGTGGCCATGATGTACTGATACCTGCACTAGGGGCTCGATTCAATCTGTATTGCCGAAGTCCAGCGCTACAGCGCACTTTAAATTGAAAGGTAATTTCCGATTGAGCCGACATATGCAGCGTTTACCGTGAATGCGGTCTGTGCGGGAACATTGCCTTTAAATGTATATTGCGCTGTAGCGCAGGTCTTCAGCACTACGGATTGAATCCACCCCTAGCTCTGCATACACAGACTCAGACCTACATTTTCTGTACATTTCATTATTTAACATGGGTATCTATACAGTATGTGCTTTATGTCATTGGTTTAAACACACCTTCTGTGCCCATACCGGGGCAGTCTGTCTGTAGCATGTGGGCTACTGTAACTCAAGGTGCCTGGTCATGTGACTGCAGCAGCAGCAGCTATGTGACTAGTGTTAAACATGGTGGCACGAGGGGTGACCCAGCAATGCCAGTCTTTCTTGGCATGCAGCTAGTGTTTCTCTGTCAGCAACCTGTCAAGAGAACCATGGCTCTCTCCCAGAAGCTTGGCTGGTGCGTAAAACCCGCGAATTCAGACAAACAAAAAGGTGTACTAGGTTTGCACTCAAAAAGATATCGCATAAAGCTTACTTCATAATTCGTTTTTACAGCCTTACACACTGAAGGGAAGGCCGTAAAGCCGGAACGTCTGTGTACGCTATCCCTGATGCAGTGAAAAATATTTGTTTATAGAATAATGAAGTAAGCTTTATGCAACATCTTTTTGAGTGCGAACCCATTACATCTTTCTGTTTGTCTGTCAGCAACCTGCCCAGTACACAACACTGTCATCAGCATAGTGAGAGAGAGAGAGAGAGAGAGAGAGAGAGAGACAGAGATGCAGAAAGAAAAGGACTCAGATAAGATACAGTATGATCACTGTTGGCTAGCATTTGTCCTTAAAATGCAGATGAGAATTAGCTCTGTAGCTACAATCTGTTCCACATGGTCCTGTCAAATAAATACAATCTTGTGAGAGAGAAACAAGCTGAGTTGTCAGGATTAAAATAACATCTAAACAGATACAGATGTAGGATCTTAATTTGATCACTTTTTAGTTGCAGGAAATGTCCTGCATAGCAGAACATGCAAACTTGTAGAGTATTCAAGGTTTAAAAATGCTTCTAAAGTTTGTAATTTAGTCTTTAAAATGTCAACCTCAATAAAAATGTCCATTCATTATAGTCCACACAATAATTCACATTTCCTGTTGCTGCAATATTATTTTCCTGCTGTGAGAAACTGGTCAAATTAAGACCCTACATCTGTATGTATTCAGTATAGCTGCCCAAACCACTGTCCTTTCATGTGTGTTTAGAATGTCATTAGCTAACTGTTGTACAAGGGTTCAGTTAGAAGATATGTTTCTCTAATGAACACTGCACCTTCATGTACCTCTGTCTGCACAGCTGCACTGAATGCCATGTTCTGAGCTAAACTCTACATTTTAGTCATTTAGCTCTTATCCAGAGCGACTTACAGTGCATACATTATTATTTTTGGGGTCTCCCAGTCGCGGCCGGCTACGACAGAGCCTGGATTCAAACCAGGATCTCTAGTGACACAGCTAGCACTGCGATGCAGTGCCTTAGACCACTGCGCCACTCGGGAGACCGGGAGACTCTAATTACTTTTGATATGACTAATTCTAAACTCAACAATAAAGGATGTGTCTTACCACCACATCTTTTTGTAGCCTTGTGGACAAGGCTAAATATCTTTGCGTATAGTCACATTTTTATTTATAAACAACATATTCTGTTTGAGTATCTAGACCTCCAAATAGGGTTGCAAAATTTCTGGCAACTTTCCCAAAATTCCCAGATTTACTCATTCCCTCCTAATTCCAGAAGTCTCCCAACTCGGATTTCTGGAAACCCTGGGGATATTGGTAGTTACCAGAATTTTGTAACCCTACTTACAACATACAGTATCGCCATCCCATCTTTAGAACAGAGGCGCATCTCATTCAAGAATGAAATTGTCAGTTCAGAACCAGCTCACTTATGTAGATCTGTGTCATGTTTGAAAGTGAAGTGATGACGGGTGAGTTTCCAAACATGAAAGAGGACACCTGGAGACATCTTGGATTCCTGCTGGAGGCCTGGGAGGTCACTCAGCCCCACTGCTTCTCCTCATACTTCACATAGCTGTGGGTAAAACAAGGACACTGGACTATCTCAGTGTGTGTTAGCGTCCATCACAAGAAGCTGCTGCCTGTTGACCCAGACTGGCGAAGAAGAAGATATTGCCTGTGCACTTCATGACTGCTTGAGTACTTTTAAACATTAAACATTATGCAATGAAAGTATGTCTTGCCAGTGAAGTAGAGGAAACAAATGTAGGGGTCTATTCAATCTGTATCGCTGAAGCCTTCAGAAAGTATTCATGCTCCTTGACTTATTCCACATTTTGTTGTTACAGCCTGAATTCAAAATAGATTACATAGATTTGTTTGTCTCACCCATCTACACACAATACCCCATAATAACAAAGTGAAAACATGTTTTTAGACATTTTTGCAGCTTTATTGAAAATGAAATACAGAAATATCTACTTTACATAAGTATTCACACCCCTGAGTCAATACATGTTTGAATCACCTTTACCAGTGATTACAGCTGCGAGTCTTTCTAGGTAAGTCTCTAAGAGCTTTGCACACCTGGATTTTATCATATTTGCACATTATTCTTTTTTAAATTCTTCAAGCTCTGTCAAGTTGGTTGTTGATCATTGCTAGACAGCTATTTACAAGTCTTGCCATAGATTTTC